TTCAAGGGAAAGTGAAAGACGAACTTGATAACTTGTTGTCAGAAGGTCGTTTAACAAAATTAGACAAATGCCCAAGTGACTGTTTTAATGCTCCAATTGTAATAACAGTAAAAAAAGACGACTCTATCAAGCTGGCAGTAGATGCAAAACCGATAAATAGACAATTATACAAGAATAAATATCAAATGCACAATGTTGATGAATTACTAGATGGGGTGAGTCAGATAGTAATGGCTAAAACACAAGGTACACTTTACTTCGCGGTACTTGATTTGAAGTATGCGCAGAGTCAGCTTCGATCGACTGCTGAAACAGCTAAAAAATGTAACTTTAACATAGTTGGCGGTCAAGCTACGGGAACTTACCGATTTCTGAAAGGGTTCTATGGACTGGCAGATATGCCCGCAGAATTCCAAAAAGCAATGGATCGCACCTTAAACCATGCTAAAAACACATTTTGCTTTCTGGATGACATACTGATTGCCTCTAAGGGAGAGAAAACAGAACACGAAAAATTGGTACCAAATGTACTGAAAAAATTCGACGATGAAAGTTTGGCATTAAAATTACTAAAATGTGAGTTTTTTGAGTCGGAATTCAATTATTTAGGTCATAAACTTACACCGAGTGGGATAACACCTGAATTTACAAAGACGGAAGCAATTCTGAAACTACAACACCCAAAGTCGCTTAAACAGTTAAGATCGTTTATGGGTAGTATCAACCACTTATCTAAATTCATTCCTAACGCAGCAAGTCTAACTGATCAACTTTGACCATTGCTCAGAGAAAAGAATGTGAAGAAGAAAATGAAGAATGTAAAATTGCCAGTTAAAAATTCGAGTGGGGGGAGAAACACTCCCTAATATTCGAAGAGATTAAAAAGGCGGTGGCAAGGATCGCACAAACTAATTACTACGATCCTCTCAAAGAGACTCGGGTAAAATGCGATGCGAGCCATAGCGGACTCGGAGCAACTTTAGAACAATCGATTAATGGGGACGACTGGGTAACAAGTGCATTTGCATCACGTTATCTCAATGCTCAAGAAAACAAGTATTCAACAAATGAGCTGGAACTTCTTGCAGTCGTTTGGTCAGTTGATCGATTCAAACATTATTTATTAGGAAAAGAATTTACCCTAGCTACAGACCATAAGGCTCTTACATCAGCACTAGGGGAACACAAATCTAATAAAACGTATCAATCTAGACTCACAAGATGGGTAGACCGTTTACTACCTTATCAATTTAAAGTGGTTCATATACCAGGGAAAGATATGGAGATTGTAGATTATTTCTCCAGAGACCCGATTGGGGGGGGGGGGACCGTGGCCTGAGTCAGAATTGGACCCGATTGGGGGTGGGGGGGAACCGTGGCCTGAGTCAGAATTGGACGAACATTTTGTGGTCGCATCGATTGATCAATTTCATGAAGCGCTTGACTGTCTAAACAGTCGGCTAGTTGATACAAATACTTTCATTAATGATGAAATTATTCTAGAACAATCTCAAGAAAGAAGCGCAATGAATGAAACACTGAACACGTCATCCCACGTTTGCTATAGCAACCGTCCTGTTCAAAAACGAACAAAGCTCTACCGGAACGAGAACGGTCAAAGATAACGACTCTCAAATTGCGACCAAAACACTTTGAGCAAGATATCTAGTTGTATACAGTCGGTTGATATTAAAAGCAACGAAAAAGAGAAATATTGAAGTGACACTGGAAAAAAATGTACGAAAGAAGAAATGGAGAAAAAATCGAAGACAGTAAAACTTGCGAATGGGGAAAGTAGACGAACTCAATTGCTGGAACAAATAACAAACAACATTTCAGAGAACGAGAACAATACAGAGGGGAGGAACAGGAGATGAAAGTGAGTTCAGACTCTGACGTACCGCAAGTTGAGTGGAGCGTGACAACGAAAAAACGAAAGGACAGAAATCAACCAACATCGTCAGGGGAGGAACCAAAGAAATTAATGCGATTTTGGGATCTAGTACGATCCGAAAGAACTGACAGAGTCAAACCGGAAAATATGTTACAATTAGAAGTGTCGACGGAGTTGATCATTCCCCAAAGGGATTCTACGAGTGTGAACGATTCAAAAATCATCGAAATAGACCTTACAGCGGATACGACCTCAGAAAGGAGCCTAGTTGCTGGAAGTGAGAGAAAATCAAGACAGCAAGAATTCAGATAAGCAGAAAATCGAGAAAAAAAAATATTTAGCTCAATCTTTCGAAACTGTTCGATAGAAATCTTTCAGCAGAACTGACCACGGAGGATACGTGGATGGACAGGTTGCGGAGGGTCATAGAGCGAAACGACCGGCACAGTTTCGAGCTAATGGGGGTTACACGAATTCTTCATGGCATCAGAGGACAGTAGTGGACGATTGCATCGTAGTAGACGGAAGACTGGCGGTGCCAGGACAATTGCGTCCCGCAGTTTTAAAGAGAATACACCGCGGCCACCCAGGACAGGAGGCGATGCTAGATGTGTCCAGATACCTGTGGTGGCCACATATGCACAAAGACATTATGAACATGGCGGAGGAATGTAGAACTTGTACTCGCTACGGTAAGAATGCTAAATATATTATACCAAATAACGCTCTCGCAGCCGTGTCAAGAACTTCAATTAGACTAGGCGGGACCGCTAGAGGATACTAAAGGCAAGAAAACCTACCTACTAATAGCCATAGATAGATTTTCGAAGTTCCCGTCGGTAAATCATCAGTGAAATTTCTTCGAACATATATTGATACACATGGGATCAGAGAATCCATTAGAACTGATCAATTCTCGAGCTTCAAAGGCAAAACGATGAAGAAATTTTGTACGGAAAATAACATTGAACAAAAATTCTGTCCCGTAGGGGACCACAGAGGGTGTGGCCTAGTTGAACGAACAATTCAAACGATTGGACGAGATTGTTTCGTCAATAAAACTTGCACTGAGCACAATAGTTCGAGATCTTAGTTGGAGCAAACAAAAAACGATTCAATGTTTGCCAATCGAAGCGCATTTCGGACGACTCCCGAAAACTGAAATTAAAATTCTAAGGGATTCGTTTATTAAAAATTCTGATCGAAGTGGAATCGGCGAGAGATAGAGCCCGGGCGACAGCGCTGAAAACGCTATTAGAAGCTAATGCAAGGTGGAATGAGACAAGACGGGACACCTCCGCCAATGACCTGAGAAGAGTGGTCGACGAAGTCAGTACAATCAATCCGGAATTACGAAAGGAGCTTTGGTATTCGTGGTAATATGGTTTCATTGAAGATAAACCCCAGGAGGCAGAACTCGAACTATCAGGGTCTCCAAATCTGTTGAGAACAGGAAGAGTGAGAAAGCACTTACAAACCCATTAAAAGGCAAAGGACAGTCAGAGCCGCCGCACACAGTGAAAACGGCTGCTGGTGCAGTATTAGAAAAACGATATCGCGAAAGCAAAAATTGACATAGCGAGCAAAAAGAAAAAAATTAGGAGAAAGGAAATACAAGTAGAAGGCCACACAGCGGAGAGCCTAAAACTAAATCCAGGTAGAAGGTAAATGACAAACAACCAGTAAATAGTGACTTAGACGCATTACCTGATTCACCAGAAAAATCGACGAAAGCCGCAACGCTATTCCAAGATAGCGATTTCAAAATTCAGCATCACTTCGAAGGATACGGAGGTGAACGGGGGTCTCAATCTTTCAATAAAAAGGGCAAAACCAAACAATGCGGGACCAGTAATAGAAAATTCGACAAGTGTGGTACCCAAAGGAACCAAACAAAGTAACAAGAAACAAACGTGTCAGGAGGCAAGAAGGCAAAAACCTGCAGCAACAGCTCTCGAGACAAATCAACCCAACACAAAAGATAAAGGATTATCGTCATCCACTGCAGAGGCAGTCATTCCCAGCACGTCTACACTAAAGAAAACAAATGATGATAGCAAAGACATTACAAGGGACACACCAGCAGAAAAGATTTTAGAAAGGTTTCAGAGCCGAGATTTAACTTCAAACGAATGGAACAAATTAGCGGACCAAGTATTAACGAGAGGAGTTCAGAAAGCAGCGGAAGACATTTTGAAATCTACAGATAGAGAGGGTGATTGCAACATCAACGCTCCCCAGGATTTTCAGATGAGTCCGGTGACAGCGACGCTACAGTGCGACGAAGTGAACGGACCACCAAGAATAAGGTACCAAGCAGGTATGGGAATCCTTATAAGCATTCAGTCAAGTTGGTCAGCTCTAACCAGGGTTTGATAGATACAACAAAGCAGCTCTCGAGGCTTATCGAATAAAACTGGCAAATTTTCGATCAGACGTGAACAAACCGGAAGAGACAAACTTGGGCCTACATGAGAAACATTTGTTAAGACGAAAGTTCGGCAGTGAAGCATTGGACATTTCGAAAAGCTGGAATGCATTGTGGCGTGTTCCTCTGATTGTAGAAGATGATATTCCTGACAAATAAGAGAAATGCTAGTAAAGACAGCCTGAAACAAATTTGCTCTACAAAACTCAGTAAAACTTAGTATAAAACTCATATTTAATTATTAAATTTTGTAAGTGTAGTATAGAAAATTTGTTTAACCCAGGGGGAGTGTGGTACAGCACTTAGTGCAAGTGCAGTAGCCATTGTGATATTGCTGCACACTGACCTTGGGACTCATATTGTTATTTGTAATTATGCTGTTATATTGTTATTAACTTAGTATCAAGGTCACTTGTTCTACCTAAAAAACAAAACACACCTTATTAATAAGAGAAAAATCGCTTCTTTCATTGACACCTAACAAGAAAACTTGAGCGCAGTTTGAATCGTTTTCATTTATGAACACCAAGCAATTGGTGATTATTTATTGACAAGGGCTGCAATGAAAGTGTTTTGAAATTTTCACTATACAAAAGGGTCAAGGGTTTTCCTTTCGGGTCAGCTAAAATCTGAAGTTCATAAGTGATTAGGAGAAATGACTGCAAGATTTAACAAAACTTTATTCATGAAAGATTGAATTGAAGTCGTATCAAACTAGCGTTCAAATGGAAACGATATTTATATTTATTTTCAAGTTAGCATCTGGAACAAAATAGAAGCCGAAAGATAAAAAAAGAAAGTATTTTACAAAGCAAGCACTTCAGTTATAAATTCAAACAAGAAATCAAAAATCCATGTTTATGATTTGAAATTGAAATTCAATGTAGATCTCCACCGACCAGATGATAACCCGTCAGTGTCTGAGAAAGTGAAAACTACCTGGAGGGAATAGTGAAATTACGACTGTTTGAACATCCACTTATTTTAATTCAATTTAGCAATTCAATGCATCAACACAACCTGCGATTTAGTATTACAATTCATTATAATCCTTTAGTTGTCAATTATAGAATTTGCTATTAAATTATCACATTATGCAGCATTTAACTTTCTCATAATTTTTTAAATTATATGTTCGTCCGCCATAATACAAACTTTTGTTAATTTTTGTTTCATATTTAATTTCTCGTCGCGTGATTATATTTATTGCCGTGAAAACAAACCATCGTGATATTGTGATACATTTATACATTTTTGTTGCATGTATTTGACAACTAAAACAAAGTTGGAGCATCAATGATCTAAATTTAACTCAAATCGGGACATTATAAATCTGCTTAAGGCATGAAATTTGAACTTGCTTTAATATATGGCTGGTGAAATCCATTACTAGTTAAGTTGCATATGCAGTCAATGAGATAAACACATAAAACTGAGCACATTATTACATACACTTCCAAACTGATGTCAAATAAAAGGGATCCGCTAGATTCTTTGAAATATGTATGGCAACCTATTAAAGTGTGTTTGCCGTGTGTAAATTTTGGGCATCAAAATCAGGATTTCACTATATAGCTCAGAATATAACTAACAAACGAAAGAAATAGGTTTATAAATACTGTGTTATAGTTTGGGTTATAACAAATGTGATCTATTGATTTTAGGGCAAACTTTATTTAAGAACAATCAGAACAACAATAAACTCAAAATGAACTTGAAAGAGGTTCTTCCACTTGTTTTGAAAAAAAAAAATAGCTCCTATTTACCACAGTAAACTTCGACAACTTATTTGTAATTTTTCTTAAAAGCCCAGCGCGTTATTCGTGAATGAATTTGATGAGAACGTTGTCATAATGGTGAATGTTTCGAAGCATAGTTTTCAAGGAACACTTTTTTGAATAGTAAGCACCCAAGCAGACGAAACAATTGATTGAATAAAAACATCTTGAAGCATTTAAAGCGTGGATGACAAAGAGCAATAATTCATGTCAATCAATTCATCAAATTAAGTTCAACATTTCAAAAATATTTCAGGTCACAGTGTAACAAAATTCATAAAAATTCAGCGCAATATATTTATAATTCATTCTGCTTACACATGACAATATTTTGATCAAAATTAACAATTTTCGAATTTTTTTTTCTGTTTTTGAAGGTTCGCAATCAAATTTCATACTCGTAGCATGAATGAGGACTGATGTTTCGTAACACGTTAGTTCATCGGAAAATGATTTGAAAATATTTATCGCCAAATTGATCTTCAAATGCACATAGATCATAATAATTTCAGGGAATTGTTGTTTCGAAATGTTTTGTCAGTCGATTTTTGGTATTATTTGAATCAACATTTCTATTATTTGTTATGAAAGGAAGTGATAAGAACATCCTTTAAATTGTTTTTCTTGATAATGATGTTGTCATTGCTCGCTCCAGGAGGTTCGGAGAGAAGATGTTGCTCTTTCCTATCCTGTTTCATGTTTCGTTATCAGCTGTCAAATTGTGCCTTTATTTTATCGGTCATTTGGGGATAACATTGCGACATTTGAGACGGCTAGGGAAGAAGTTGCTCGTTGTTGTTGTTTTGATTTTGTTGCCTTTGTTTTGTCTGTTTTTATCAGCTTTATTTTTAATTTTAACTGTAGGCACAATTATGGACTACTAGGCTGCACTAGTGAAATCAATTGGTTTCCTCGTCATCTCCTGGTCATCATCCACGTACTCCTCATCTTGGATATCATCTTGTCTGATCAAATTCGGATCCCTCTTGGTGAAGAAGCCTCTTCTGTAAAGCACGACTATGACGATGGAGACTACGGCAATTGATACCAGCAGCGTCACTATCACTATCCACCAGGGGAACGGAGCCCCGGCTGAGATCACCTCGGTCGTCAACGTCTCCCCACCTAAGATTTAACCAAAGTGAAAAGATCATTAGTGGAGTGTAATTCAGCTGAAAACATCATATCTTCGTATAAACGTCTTTCTTTCGGATGTGAACAAAACCAACCTAATTTACCTTTTCTTTATGTCATATACCTTGACCAAAACTGGATTTAGGGTGGAGGGATGCGCCCCCTGGGCAACCCAACTTCGTAAGGCGCCAATATACTTTGGAAAGTTACTAAGTTATTCTGGTTCAACGATCGATAGAAGAATGTAGACAAGATATAGATAGTTGTAAAAAGATATCAACAAATTAACAGTAACAAATTCCATATACCGTCGTCTGATGCATCGCTGCTTAACCCTCTGGCTGAAAAAAAAACGCTCTCACATAGCTCCAAGCTCGAAACTTTTCGCAAAACTTATCAAAAACAAAATCATGTAGGTTTTGAGTAGTTTTAACAGCTAAATAAGCGCATACAACAATGCTTACCTGTCTTATTGGCTTTTTGTTCCGACTTTCGATACGAGAGTAACGGAATATTTGTGCTCGGGGTAGGTTTTTTTTTCTTCAGACAAATTTCGACTTTTTAACTAGCCATTTTTGACGGAATTTTTTTAATATCATTCGAAAGCTATTGTTGTCTTGAGCCTAAATTTGAAAATATATTTCACCTGTGATCATTTTTCGTAAAGTTATGAGGGTTTAAAGATTGACATTTTGACCAATTTGGGACAATTAACGCGCGATATAATTCGCGCTATTAACGCGTAAGCGGAGATTTTATTCGTCTTAGAAATCATTCCAAATTGGTTGAAAGAAGCTTATTTGCCATAATTGATTTGTTACAAGGAGCGAAATCTATTGTTTCGTACTTTAAATGGTGTGTGGGGGATGATTTTCATAGAAACATTTTCAAATTTTAGAAATTTTTTTTCTTCATTTTATTTCATTTCAATTAATTTTTTTTTTTTTTATTTTGTTTATGTTATTACTGCTCTATAAACTTTAAAAGGCAGCCGTACTATCTGGGCTTCGCCCTGATACGAGCAGTCTTGTTTATCTATAAAATGAGACTGGTCTACAAACCGGTTAAACTCGAGTTTCCCGAAGTATCGATTTAATCACGAGTGAACGGGATTTAATATAATATATCATTCGACACCAATTGTTGTTTTTTTGACAAATTGATGCAATAAAACACAAATTGTCAATTTTTCATACTGCCACTTAATGCAGTTATTTACGCTAGAAACTTTTGCTTTTCTAAACGGTCTGATTTGTCATTTTTAACCAGTTGTTGCTTTTCGATCGATTGTCGCTTTCGGACAATTGTCGCCACACCACAACTTGACTGGCAGATGAACTGACCTGAGGGATTTTCGGGTTTCTTGTAGAGATTGGTCTGGTAGTCTGGCTCTCCTACCACCTGGTAGTCAGTTTTGAACCACAAATCACTCTGTCTGTTAACAAGAGAAGTCCACGCCTTCTCGTCAACATACGTCACCTAGAAATGTAGGAAACATGAATCTTGTTAGCAAAAAAAAAACAGTTACTATGAAACGAAAAAATGACCAAATAAAAATGAACATAACAGAAACGTATTAAAGTTCGTTTATAATCAACATTACTCCCCCCCCCCCCCCCCCCTCCAAAAAAAAAAAAAAAATCCCGCACACGGACTCTTTTGGCGCAGATTGGTGGAACCACCCTTGACTAATTGAAAAGTGTCTGTGACGCCATATTGTATTTAAAATAGTCAATCTTAATATTTATCTTTGCATAGCAAATAAAATTTGAAAATATTCGTAGTATTTTAAGATTTTAGAGCCTTTGGAACACCAGGAAAAAAAAACTAAAAAAAGGAGAAAAAGGATATCTATGAATCAAAAACCAAAAACACACAATAGTAAATACCCCTTGAAACTCAATGATAAGCATTGTGTGATTACTTTGATTCCGATGGTGGTCTTCGCCTTGCTGCCCAGTTCCTTCACAGTGCATTTCACAATCTGGCACTTTGAGCTGGAACACTTATTGTCACTGTCAACTAACTTGTCCGTTGTGCACTCGTCGCGCTAAAACAAGACATACTCAATAAATGGATGCAAGTTAACATTCTCCAGCCGATCCTGTACGGGACGTGTCAAAGATTCTTAGAAGCAAAAACCAAACAAACGGTATCAAAAATTTGCACAATTTAACGTCTGAAACTTAAAAAAAAAACAGAGCTTCGAAAATACAATAAAAAAGTTTCTTTTAAATTTTTAACGAGTTCCATTTTTTTTCAAATAGACAAGAAACAGATGGAAAAGAACCAATGAACGCATGAAAAAGAAAAAAAACCGAGAAAAAAAGCTCTTTGAATTTCTAGAACAATTTATGATTGCCGCTTTTTTGATAATATGAACCCAACCAGAGAAAACTGGATCGAATAGTAAAGTTTTTATTCCTCTGGAATTCTAAAAATTGAATTCCATTTTCGAAACTAGAAAACGTTCACGTTTTTTCGCGCCATTTCCATGTTCGTCTTTGGAATGATATTCAATTGAACTCAAAAATGGCATGTATACCTGATTGCGTTCATAAAGGCATCATTAGGCATGAATGCACATCTGTAGTTATTAGAGCATTTTAAGACTTTTTCCAAAAAAAAACACCAAGACCTTTGTAAGAGTCTTCAATGCGTTCATTACTCTTAAATAACTAAATCCAAAGGTAAAAAGCTTATTATGATTCGGTATCTGAAAAAAAAAAACTCATTTTCATAACTGAAAATCGATTGCGTTCCTTGTGACCTTTTCACTTTTGCTGTTCGATAGTGGAGTTCGCCGCCTTCTTTCTAAAACAAAGCCAAAGGAAGTGTATAAACAGAGGTGAATCGGAGCTTCCACCACTAGCGATACCACACAGGTATACATAGCATTGCAAGCTACCAGACAGAAAATGAGACAAAAGCCACTAAAAAAATAGAACATTTCTCAAAAAATATAACTACAAAATTTTCAGAAATTTGTCTGGAATGATGTTCAATTTGACAAAAAACAGCCAAAAAACACAATAAATGGCGTTTAATAAAAATTCAGACACAAAAATTGATCGGCAACTGAGCCGCCAAAAGTTGTTAAGATTCCCGCTGAGCAAAACAGTTTTCAATTGAAAAACTTTTGAAAGTTCCAAAAATCTATTTTTCCTTCAAAAGAACGCTTAACTAGGTCACTAACTCGATAAAACATAAGCAAAAACAATTGAAATCAAACAAACAGCCAAAAAAACATAGCCAATCGAAGATTGGAACAGAGTAATGAACGCAAGTAAACATAAAAAAAAACACTGACATTCTTGAAAAAATCTCAACTTTCGAATTTCAAAAAAACAGATGCTTGTTACGCTCCTTGAATTTCTAGAACAACTTATGATTGCAGCTTTTTTGATAACATGAACCCACCTAGAGAAAACTGGAGCAATAGGTAAAGTTTTTATTTCGCTGGAAATCTAAAAGCTAAATTCCACTTTCGAAACTAGAAATCACTTTCAGCCGATGAATTTCAATTGATCTCAAAATGTGCATATATACCCAAGTGCATTCATAAATGCATCTATACGTATGAAGGCACATTTGTAGTTATTAGAGACTTTTAAGACTTTTCCTAAAAAAACCAAATAAGCAAGACCTATAACAGAGTCTTCACTACGTTCATTACTCTTAAAAATTACATCGACCAATCAGACTACTTCCATTGATCTAAAAAAAATAAAAACTATTTAAGATGTGATAAATCACTTCGATCTTAGACCCTCGAAAGATTTTTCCTCAGCTTATTCAATTAAAAATTGACTTTTCTAATTAGTGCACCTCGAACTTTGGAACAGAAAATTGCCATCACCAAATCGTTTTATTTACAGCTTTGAAAAGGCAAATTGGTGTCAAAAGTGGCCATTTGCTCTTGAGGCATCTCATAGTTATGCAATTTGCCTTTTACGACTCACATGCCCATTTTCGCTTGTATTGCAAATTAAATTGATATGCCTAATTAATCTGTTTAACAAGGAACTTCTCACCTCTACTGTGACGTTGAAGTCTTGACTGTATGGCGTGTAAATGGTTACTTCGGTCTCGCCAATCATGGATGTTTTGGTGTTCTCCAAAGAAAATGTATACTGCAGACTATTTTTCTTTGCAAAGGGCGTCTTCTCCGCTACAACTCCCGATGTTTTATGCGACTGAAGCATTAAAAAAACTAAACATTGTGTCCTTCTATATATTTTCCAAATCTTATGGTTTTAAAAGACATTTTTATTTCTCTGACTTTCGAAGAAAGTATTAACTATTTGTGATTCAAATCATTCCACATTATATTGAGCCAACCTTTACTTGATTCTAATAATTCTTTACAAGACGCAAAATGAATCACTATGTACATGATATTGCGCGTGCAGACGGACTATTGCAATATATTACTAAAAACACTACCTAAATAAGTATTTTATTAAGGTTCTTTAACATTTAACCAGTGTGAAACTCACATTTAATTGGGCCTCGTATTGGATAACAATCTGGTCATTATCTTCTTCCACCCCTTCGCCCTCCTTCTCAATGTTGGCCCAAGTCAATCTGTAGTTCAGAGGCAGCACTGCCATCCCGCTCTCTCCTCCCGCCAGCCGATCCCCGCTCATCGCAATTGTGATTTTTGCAATTGTGAATTTTCTGTCCTGCACGAAGAAACAACTGATCACTTCTCCCTCTGAAACACAGCCAACAGACTGTTGAAAAAGGCAAGAGAACTCGGCAAACAAAAATATCACCAAGTATTAAAAAAAATAATTATTTTAAAATTAAGTATTTTAATTCCATTTATCATTAATTAGCAATTAGCTGAAATACGAACTAGTATGTGTTGAATTTTAAGATTTTTCCTGAAAATAAAGCATCGCGATCTATATAAGAGTCTTCACTACGTTCATCGATTCTTAAAAACTGTGTAAATAGGTTACTTTTTATTCCTAAAAACCTCTGAAGTTTGAGGTCATTCAGGTTTTTTTCCGCGCAGTCTGTACTTTTGCTATTGCAGCGTACTTTTGCTTCAATTTAGCAAATGAAGTTGAATTGAAACTAAAATGGAATCAAAAGTCAAACGAGGGAAAATCAAATTTACAGCTTAACGAAATTTTCAAGCTTTTTCCTACAAACATAGCCAACAGAAATTGAAAAAGAGTCAATAAACGCAAGGAAAAAGAAAAAAATAACCTAAAAGCTTTTTGAATTTCAAGACCCATCTGTTTGAACTTATCTGATAAAATTCAGTCAATTTGAGCAAACTGAATCAAAAGATGGAGTTTTTAATCCTCTGCAAAATTGAACATTTAAACCCATTTTCGAATTAAAATCCACATTTCAAGTGACCCTTACACTTTATCTGTTCGATAGTGGAGTTTGCCTTCCTTTTAACAAAGGAAAAGAACAAAACTTAAGAGAAATGTAAAATCAAACCGCCAAAAACCAAATTTGAGAATGAACAAACTTCAAGACTTTTTCCTGGAAAAAAAGCTACGTTTATGACTCTGCATCAGAGCAAGAATTGGCTTTCGATTTTGTATATGACTATGAAACAGCTTCACATTAAAAAACATGCAACCTACAAAAAAGAATATCCACTCCGTCAAAAACGTACAGTTGTGTTGCTTCATATTGATTTCGAGTAAGAATTAGTTGTTCCGTTGCTTTGATGTCAATAACTGTAGATATATATTTTGAAAATTGGTTAAAAAAACTCCACTTTGAATGAAAACTTAGACGCCCGAAAAACTCAAAACCCCAAAAACAATTTCCAATTAAAAATTAACTGAAAATTTGGTCGATTCAAAAGCATAAAAACATTGAATACAGAACTTTTTTTGAAAATCTACAATTTTAAAATTTTGCGCAGATTTTTGTCATGCATGGGCATAAGAATCGAGCATCAGCATCCAAATCAGCAGTGAATCTTGTTTGTGCGAAGAGTTCTATTTTGAACTCACGCTTTAACTAGGCCACCAAAAACGTGAAGTGAAACCGAATTAAAGGCTCAAGCAAATCATTTGACAGGAATCAGACTATAATCAAGTGATTCATAGTCAGTCTACAAGAAAAAACGAAAACGAGCTCAAGAAAAAAGAAAACGTAGCCAACAGACAGTTGGAAAAGAGTCAATGCACGCAAGTAAACGTAAAAAAAACTAACTTGTTTTTTGAAACTTCAATTTTCAATCTTTAAAGCAAAACTGATGGCATTTAAGCTTTTCGATTTATTAAAAAATTTCTGATTGACAGTTTTGATAAAAATTAACTAATTCTGAGAAAACTGGATTAAAAGGTTCAATTTTTTTTCCGTTGGGAAACCTGAAAAATTAATTCCATTTTCGGAACTTGATCACGTTTTTTGTGACCTTTACTGTTCAAGTGGAAACGGAAAAAATGTTGAGATGTATACCAGGAAACAAAGCCAATCGAAGCTTGGAAAAGACTAGTGAATGCAAGTAAACATATAAAAAACGCTGACTTTCTTGAAAAAAACTCAACTTTCGAATTTCAAAGACAAAAATAGATGCCATTTAAGCTCTGGTATCATGAATCGAACTAGAGAAAACTAGATCAATAAGTAAAGCTTTTATTCCGCTAGAAAGTTGAAAATTAAATTCCACTTTCGAAACTAGAAATCGTTCACTTTTCGCGCCATTTTTCACGTTCGTATTTTGAGAGTGCTTTTTACGTCACTTTCCAAAAAAACGGCCAGTAAAACAAACAACTTATTTTTTTCCGAGAACCACAGCTTTTATTGTGAAACACTTTTGGGCGTAGCCTCTTATACAGAAGAGATTCACACAACCTGTTGTTTCGATTGAACGCAAAAACTCAGATTAGAGAGGGTAGTTTTCGAAAGTCTTTTTTGTCCTCTCGAGGGTCCTAACTTTAGCGTTAGTAAATTGGTCTGAGTTGGTTGTGCAGGGGAGCATTCAACGTCAGGTTATCGATTGAACCCAAAACCTCAAATTTTATAGTGTAGTTTTCGAGAAACAACAATAAATTTCAAAAAACGGTGAAAATTCACAGACTGACTTTTCCGAGGGCCATAACGTTTACTATACAACAATTTGGTCGTAGCCAAATATGCAGGGAACTTTCCCACAAAACTTTCTTTGGATTGAACTAAATGTTTCAAATTTAGGCGGGTAGTTTACGAGAAAGGTCAAGAAGAATTTTAAAAAATGGTCAAAATCTCAAATATTTCTTCTTTCCGGGGCCTTAAATTTTGAGTAAAAAAATTGGGCTTGGTTGAATGCAGGGGAACTTCCCACAACCAGTTGTTTTGATTGAACATGAAAAACTCACCTTGTAATTGAATGTATAAAATTTTCTAAAAAAAGATTATAAGATCCTGCAAGTCAGCCGAAAAAGTTGGGACGAAATCCATGCAGCCGACTAACATTAATCCATGAAGCCGACAAAGTTTCCCATTAACAAACATTGCACACAGAATTTAAGCACATCAGCAGGCATGAGCATGCCATCAATTGCTTCAAATGATTTTAACCTGTTAACCTGAAAAAAGTCTACATTCCGATTTGATAGCGCTTGCTCATCACAAGCGCAGAGACTTTTTCAGAAAAGAAAAACGAAGAGAAAATCATCGCGACCTACATTCTGCACTACGTGCATCGACTCTTAATAACAGAACCATCAGGTTGTAAGAACTTACGCAAATCGGTTTGACAAGAAACCAGTGATTCCGGATCTGACTTCGCATAGGTAAAGCCAATCAACTTAGTTCCCAGAGTAATCCTCAGTTCCCCATTCACAAAATTCACTTCATTTTCACTTTTTAGTGTTATGACAGCCCTCATCTGATTTTTGGATGAACCCAAAATTACTTTCAAAGGGTTGCTTTGCTCCTCAGAGACCTTCATTGATACTTTTGCAGGCGGGGAGATTGAAATATCGATTGGTTTTGTTAAAAGAGGCGCCAAGACAGTTGGTCCTTTAACATCGCTGCCTTTCTCCACTATAATTTCATTGCCGCTTTTAACAGTGGTTTTCGCTTCCAGCTTCAGAGTGGCACCGTAAATCTCAGGCACCGTTCCAAACACGTAGAATGAAAGCGTCTTCTCGTTCGGTTGATTGGGGCCGAATTCGGCAGACAGAGAAGCACCATACACCTCAATTTTAGTCTCATCCGGAACTTTAGATATCTTCACGTCAATTGTGAAATCCTGCTCAAATTTCCACGGCGTTGGAACAGGTCGCCAATGGAAATAATCTACGTCACTTTTCAAAAAACCTTTATTTTCAACAACAATTTGGAGAATCTGGCAAAAATTAATGTCTTTATTGTTGTCCAATATTTCAGACGGACAACGCGCGTGATTTTTAGGAGTTTCGTATCGAAGACTGTTTGGAATTCCTTCCGGATGCAGAAGTCGAATAAAGGTGGATGAATAGAAGACATAGGCAGCTTGGTTGTCCTAAGCAAAACCAGCACTCGAACTTTCAACAGCCGCGTTAAATTACATCACGTAAATTGATATGCTGCCTCAATAAAATGAAATTTCTCCAAGCAAACATACACACCTTAGTCCAATAATTTCGGATAAAGTTGTGAATTTGTACGTTATAAACTTGTAAGTTAAAAGTGTTATCAGTTTAGTTAGGTTTTTATTTAAACGTACTCATTTATTGAAAGGGAAGACCAAATGTCTACATGAGAAGGGGCTGTGTATCAAACCAATTTGCAGTAGAAGTGCAATTAAACTTACCTTTCCTGGATCTCCCACAACGAAGTCTTTGAACTCATTCTCGTCCAAATCAACTGCATTTGAGCCCACGCTGAATCCGAACAGTTTTCCCTCAGTCTTTGTGAACTCCTGAAAGCTCAGAGAAATAAAACACGAATATATTGAAAAGAAAAACGAGCAAGAGCAAGTTAGAAGATATTTCACAAAAACTACAAGGCCTTCATGTCTTTTTTTAATTTTTCATGAAATTCCATCGCTTACAATACAAACATATATCCCAGGCTTCAGACACAAAAAAATGACTACCTGATATTTTTCAAAATTATGGTGTTTTTCAAGAGAATAATCAAGCCATCCATTCTCTAACCCTTTTAAAATTAATTTAAATACCAGATTTTTCTCTTCCAGTGACATCCAGAACATTCAAGGTATAAAACTCTTTTATCATTGCTTTGAGTAGCTAAGACTATTAGAACGACGCAATGAAAATTTCATTCTTAACATATTCGCTTAAATTTTTTTATTTGGCTATTTGTCTCGAAACTAATTTCCTGCTCCAATACAGGATATCAACACAGAGGCGAAGTTGCACTTCGCATACACAAGCAAAAATATGACCGATAACGCTACTGGAAAAAATGAATGAGTAAAACTTCGAGTCTACAAAGTGACGCAAGCCAATTCGACAATTATGAGTCTATATTATTATTAGTGACGTAAGCCAATTATGACGCATTAGCAGTACCAGTAAATTTTTTTAAAAAATAACCAACTAACATGCCTCAATTTATAGAGCGGACGCATTTTAACTTGTATACGAAAAAGTTCATTAGAAATATCCGACCCTGCCCAGGTTCGAACTCTCTTATTTTGTTGTGGGTCTCATTCGCTACAGATCCATGATACATTGAAGCTAAAGTGCTATTTGTAAAATAATCAGTAGCGTGCCGAGGGGGGGCGACCGTCCCCCTTAATTCTGGTTGCCAAATTTTTCCAAAGGGTCTCCCCTTTGGTATAATTTTAAGGAGATCCATAATTTTAAGGACATAATTTTAAAGACATCCATTTTTGGCCTCTATACGCCCAACCTCAAAAACTTTCTAACTTTGAGGGAAAGCGCGCGCCGAAAAAACACGATTTTTTGGTCAACCTTTTTCAAAAAAAGCCCAAAAACTCCTTGTTTGCCTGTTTTTTTTGAAAAATTTGCCTTGCGGGGCAGATAATTTTTGACAAAACAGGGGCCTTATAGTATTTTTGGGAGAGCTCGGAAAATAAAACGATCTAAAAAAAAATCATGAAAAACCGCCCCCTCCCCCTATAAAAATTTCTGCGCGCGCCACTGAATACAATAGTCTGTGTTAATACCCTTAGCATTGGCCGTACTTATTAGCTGATTAATGATCAAATTGAACACTTTCAAAATGAACACATTTTGTCGCAACATTTGCGCCGCAACAATATTTGAGACTTAGGTTGGAAAAAAAGATAATTCATACTATAGCACAAGCTTTACTTGTGAAAATAAACTTTTAAACAAGGTAAAAAGTAGCATATTCATAAGATACTCCAAGGTCACAGCATGGGCATTTCTTATGGTTATACTAATTGCTATCAAATTCAAAAGTCTATTTGTTATGCTGTAAAGGACCAGGTAATTGAGTTCCAGGAAAAATAGCCAAATAAAAAAAATTGAGTTACGATATTAAGAACGACTATTTTATTGCCTCATTCTATTTTATCTTAGCTACTAAAGAACTGATTAGAGTCTCATATTTTGAATAATCTGAACATGACACGAAGAGAAAACTCCGGTTTTTCAATGAAGTGAATTTTAAAAAATCAGAAGTCCAACCGCGAAGTTTTAATTTTGAGCGTGAAAAAATCAAAATTCAACCCGCAAAAACATCAAATTTGAGCGTGAACAGAATCATCAAGACAAAATTTTTCTTGGTAAAAAAGCAAAAACAATCATAACGATGTATTCAAGAGTCTTCACAGGATAACGATTATACAGAGGCGAAGCTGTGCTTCGCAAACACTTGCGAGAACACGACCAAAATTAGCACCAAACACAAAAAGACACAATTTTATTTGTAACAAATTGAAAGCATCAAGCCAAATTATGAAAAAATTGCGAGATACATTGAGTTGAAAAAAAATTTCTGAAATCGAGCTTTTTCATTGTACTGCTGTTTGAAATAAATAACTTTTTTCGGTTCATTTGATGAATAAAAAATGCATCAGCTTTGTTAACTTTTCACTAATCAAATGTCGAAGCACATGTATGATATTATACTGTTACCGCAGCCTGCCGATTCAAATGCGCCGCCAAAAGTAGCGCTTTTATTTGCGACTTAGGTAAGTGTAAACAAGTAGCATAATCATATAAGAGACTTGCTTTCTCAAGAGTGAAGAAAACTCCGTGATCACAGCATGGAGTTTTCTTATGGTTATACTAATTACTACCATATATAAAGTGTTCTTGATATCTTGTAATGGATTAGCTAATTGTGTTCCAAGAAAAATAGCGGAACATGATTTTATTAGAGCTACAACATGAATGGCGATTAAATTTTCAGTTATTCATTTGTATCTTAGCTACTAGCGGAGCAAAATTAACTAGTTGGCTTCAAATGGACACGAGGCCACAAAAATAGATCCGCGCATTGACTATTTCTGCCAATGACTTGTTTAAAATGGACAAAATCTCCACTTCATTTACATATTAAAACATAGCCAACGGATGGTTGCAGTAGAAAAATAAATGGACGGAAACATTTGACTTGTTTTTTTGAAAAAAAAACTTCGATGAAGGTAGAGAAAACTCTTATGTTGGTAATGATGGTTTTTCTTGTTCACGCTCAAATTTGATTTTTCGCGGTTTGACTTCTGATTTTGCTTCAAGTTCACATTTCTTTTTTTTTTCGTTCAAATCATGTGTAAAATTCACAAAATATGTGATCGAGTTCTAGTTTCAGCAATCAAATACACTTATTTTTATCTAATAATTGACCGTCATAATCTGTTCTTGAAATTCAAAGAACTTTAACCGCAAACAATTTTTTCTTTGGATTCTAAAATTGCAGTTTTTTTCCGTCCATTTAATGTTTCCATTCATTTATTTTTCTTTTGCAACCAACCGTCGGCTATGTTTTAATTTGTGAACGAAGTGGAGATTTTGTCGATTTTGAACAAGTCAAAATGGACAAAACTTCAAATTAGCGGAGCATAACTCTATAGTTAGCTTCAAATAGAGTATGAAAAAAAACAAGACTGCTCGTATCAGGGCGAAGCCCTGAATGTTCCGACTGCCTTTATGGTGCAGGTTTATGAAAACAAAATGAAAAAAAAAATTCTAAAATTTGAAATTTTTTCTATGAAAACCATCCCCCCTCCCACACGCCGTATGAAGTACAAAAGAATATATTTCGCTCCTTGTTACAAATCAATTAGGGCAGATAAGCTTCCTTCAACAAAATTGTAACGATTTCTATGATGGATTAAATTACCCATTACGAAAAAAGATCACAGGTGAAATTTTCGTAACTTTACGAAACAGATTACAGGTGAAATATCTTGTAATATTTCAAATTTGAGCTCAGACAAAGACAACAATACCTTTCGAATGATATAAAAAAAATCCGTCAAAAATGACTAGTTAAAAAGTCGAAATTTGCCTGAAGAAAAAAATACCCACCCCGAGAAAATAGGCGAATCGTTTGCAAAAAAGTTTCTATTCCTGTTTTAGAACTATAATTAATTAAGAGCATTACCATCAATTTTCAACAGGTATAAAAAAATTGTATTATTTGCAAGAAGGAATTAACAATCAAAATATTTATAGAAAAAAGTAACTGCTTAACTTGATAACAGAAACGTTCGTTGATGAATATAAAGGCTCAGCATAAGCCGAGATACAATCCAACATGCTGATTTCGGTTATCTTTTTCTTAACACAGCCAATTGCGGAGCAAAAATATATTTGACTTCAAATTGAAACGGTGCCAAACGATTTAGATGCTCGCATTGATTATTTCTGCCTCTGCCTTGTTTCAATTCGACTCAATCACACAAACTCAAAGCTCCACTTCATTTACACATTAAAACATAGCCAACAGATAGTTGGGAAAAGATCAATGAATTGACGGAAACAAAAAACACTTTGTTTTTTGAAGTTTGACTTTCAAATTTCATAGAAAATGTTGCACTTGAAACTCTTTGAATTTCAAGAAGAGTTTATGAATGGCACTTATTGGATAAAAACAACCCTATTTGAAAAACATCCAAAAGTAATATCCACTGCCGAAACTGGAAGTCGATCACTTCTGTCAAGCTCTTTACACTTTCGCTGTTTAATAGTAGCGTCTGCCTTCCAAACTGATGATTGGGGAAAAAACAATTACAAAAGAATTATCAACACAGAAGCGAAGTTGCACTTCCCATACACAAGCAAAAATATGACCAATAACGCTACTGGGAAGAACTGAACGAGTAAAACTTTGAGTCTACAAAATTTCTTTAGTGACGCACGCCAATAATGACGCATTAGCAGTATAAAGTACAAAAGAATATATTTCGCTCCTTGTTACAAATCAATTAGGGCAGATAAGCTTCCTTCAACAAATTTGTAACGATTTCTATGACGGATTAAATCTTCGCTTACGCGTTAATAGCGCGAAATATAACGCGCGTTAATTGTCCCAAAAATGCCCAAAATAGCAAATTTTAAACCCCTGTAACTTTATAAATAACGATCACAGGTGAAATATCTTTTCAAATTTAGGCTCAAGACAACAATAGCTTTCGAATGATATTAAAAAAATCCCGAAAAAAATGGCTAGTTAGAAAGTCGAAATTTGTCTGAAGAAAAAAACCAAACCGAGCACAAACACTCCGTTACTTTCGTTACGAAAGACGGAATAATAGTAGTCTGTGTTAAAATCCTTAGCATCGGCTGTACTTAATAGTTGGTTATTGATAAAAATGGACATTTTCAAAATGAACACATTTTATCGAAACAATATTTGCGACTTAAGTTGGAAAAAAAAGATAATTGATACTATAACAAAAGCATTGCTTGTGCAAATAGCAAAACCAGCTGAAAACCATTTCATTTTCAAAGAACTGATTCCGTATTTTGGTTCGGAGGCCAATTGATCTCCATTTCCGACTGAAAGAATAATTTTATGGTGCATACTTTTGGTGTTTTTTTTCTCTTCATTGAACAACTTTTTTAATGCGTTAAAATAAAGCTCGTCGATAAAACACATCGTAAAATACACAGTGGCACGGCGGATTTGCACAAATTTAACTCAAAAATTGATTTCAAGATGCATTCTCTAAACTTCTGCTTTCTTCTGAACAGATAAGTCACTCAATCTCAAATAGTATTTTCATAAAGACTACTAACTATATGATAACGTTACAGACAAATATAATAAAAACCGAGTAATAGAATAGTTAAGAATAGTAACAAAACATTTCATTACAACACCAAGGTAGACAGAAAAAATCACTTTCGAAAAAATTCAATAGTGATTACTCGCATCTTATAATATACTTTTAAAAGAGATTTATGAGTCAATTATATGTTGGAATAGTAAAAATTATCTCCGAAAAATTAAAATAGTGATTATTCGCAGCTTATAATATACTTTGAAAATAGATTAATGAGTCAATTATATGTTGAAATAGAACTTATTCAAAATTCGGTCTCTAAAATACGAATTCCATTTGATCTGAGCAACTATTTGACTTCTTTGGAAAAAACTTATCGCCATTTTTCTTTCCTATTGGGAGCCAAGTTTACCACTGTAGAAACCAAATTGATATTATTTGCTCTCTTTGTATTGAAGAGCACGGAGGCCACTTCACTCAATTATAAACGTCGACTCTTGAAAACTGGCTCAGACGGACAAACACAGATTTACCGACTATTTATGAAAACTATTTCGAAACATGCTGAAGCTAGATCTTCAAAAAAACCTGACCAGTAATTAAAAATCTGAGCATTTCTGCCTGGTAGTTAAATTACTAAGATACCATCATTATTAGATTAACAATCGACAGCAAAACTATTAGAAGTTAAGAGTCTACTGATCACAAATGTTAGTTTGCTCACCATTTCAAGTTTCATTGCAATATGCCATTGTTAAACTAATTTTTCAAAATTGAAATTCAAAGGTAGGTCCGTCAGCCGAAAATAATGGAAATTTCAAAATAGTTCATATTGGGGACCTTGGGGTTGAAGTCCTGAGGGGAGGAGGGCGCCTACATATCACCGCCCCCCTCCCTCATAAATCTGTTACTACACCTATGGGCATTCAGATCTGCATTTATAAGTATAATAACGAGAAACTAACGTAGAAAGGGTTTGTTAATGTGACTGGAATTTGATTAACTGAAAAAGGAGGTTTTCTGTTATACGGCCTAAAACTGATTAAGAGTCGATGAATATAGTTCAGAATTTTATTTATGTCGTGATAATTTTTGTTCGCGTTTTTTTTCAGGAAAAGTCTTGAAATGCTCTAATAACAAAAAAAAATGCATTCAGAGCATTTCAAGACTTTTCATGAAAAAAAAACAACGAACAAAAATTATCACATATATAAAATTCTGAACTATATTCATCAACTCTTAATCAGTTTTGGGCCGTATAACAGAAAACCTTCTTTTTCAGTCAATCAAATTCCAGTCGCATTAACAAACCAATTCTACGTTAGTTTCTCGTTCACTTTAAAAAAAAATTTATTCAGTTGATTGCTTGCCTGCAGAATAGTAGGGTAGTCGTTCTTGTAAACTGAGTACGTGTAGACTGAGCTGATTGATCTGCCACTGAACAAGTACACTTTACCAGATGATCCATCATCGTTCTTCTCATTCAGAGCTGTGATCAGAATATCCTCTCCACCTGAAACGAAACATAATATAAGCATTCACACAAAGACGAAGCTGCATTTTGCACACAATCGTCGAAAGGGAGCTTCAAAACGCAAGAAAAATTAAATGGACATGAAAATTTTGCAAAATTAAAACAGCGTACTGACTGCTGGAAAAGAGTAATGAACGCAAGGAAACAAAAAAATAAAGCTCTTTGAATTTCACGAACAATTTACATTGTGGCTATTTTGATAACGATGTTTTTTGACCCAACTGGAGAAAACTGGGTCAAAATTTTAAATTTGTATTTAGCCGAGAAATCTGTAATTAAATTCCATTTGCGAAACTAGAAGTCGATCACGTTTTTCGTGGCCTTTACACTATTGCAATTTGGTAAGGGCCTAACAAAAGAAAAGAACTGATCTTAAAAAACATATCAGAAGTTAAACCGCAAAAAAGTCAAAATTGAGCAGGAACAAATTTTAAAACTTTTACCTGAAAAAAAAAAACACGAAAAAATCACCAAGACCTATATAACGGTCATTACTCCTACAAAAATAGTTGATTACAATTTTCGCACCACATGTCTCCAAAATTAGGGTCACTCGCATTTTCTACGGAAACCTCCGCCTTGCTAACACGACCACTAACAGTAAATACCAGATAGAAATGAATGCAAACAAACGGAAAACATAGCCAACAAACAGTTGGAAAGATTCAATTAGCACAAGTAAACAGAAAAATATAGTGTCTGAAATTTTTGAAAAAATCTCAACTTTTGATTTTCAAAGAAAAAAAGAGTTGGCCATAAATCTCATTCAATTTCTAGAACAATTTATGACTGACTCTTTTTTTTTATAAAATTAACCCGATGTGAGAAAACTGGATTAATAGATAAAATTTTAATTTCGCTGGGAAATTTCATAAATGAATTGCATTTTCGAAATTAGAAGTCGATCATTTTGTTCGTGACATTTACACTTTTGTTGTTCGATAGTGGAGTTTGCTTTCCTTTTAACCAAGGAAGTGAACTGAACTTAAGAAATCAAAATTCAAACCGCGAAAAAGTAACTTTGAGCCTGAATATTTTTCCCGAAGAAAAAGAAATCGCGACCTACATAGGAGTCTGAACTACGCTCATCGACTCTCAAAAAGCCAACAGACACCTCGAAAAGCGTCGATGAACTCAAGAAGACCGCTTCAAAATTTTCAAAAATGTTTCTCTATTGATACCATGGGTCGGGGAGAGTTCAAAAACGTACAAAATTTTCTATAATAAACTACATTTGTTTTACAGCCAAAAAACGTGTCGAATGTGGGATGAAAAAGGAAAAGAGAACAGAAGGAAAGAAACTTACCATCGGCGTCTGCGTCGCCCAAAAGTGCCACTTTGAATCCGAACATGTTACTCTTTGAGGGGGAGGGCGACTTCAGAGTGTACTTGTACTCGTATTCGCCTCTCTTTTGGTTGTACACGTAGATAGTCACACATCCCGAATTGTACGTGTCCGATGTATCGTCCTGTAACAAAAATGTAATCACTAGATTTTAAATTATCAAATGTTTATCTATTGTGATTCATACTTTCATTTGACTTTGTTTTTATGCTGAATTTCATTTTTTGATGATCATACTTTTAGTTTAATTATCAACACAGAGGCGACGCGCAGCTTCGCATCATTTGCGAAACAAGAAATTACCGATCCAAGTATTTATTACGTTGGATAAAAGCAATTGCTTTAAGTAATTACGGAGCGGCAACTAAGCCGACAACATCTTGGTAGTGTCCAAATTGAGCCAAAAACAAAACATAGCCAATCAGAGATTGCAAAAGAGTACTGAACGCAAGTAGACATAAAAAAACACTGACTTTCTTGAAAAAATCTCAACTTTCGAATTTCAAAAAAAAAATAGATGCTTGTTAAGCTCTTTGAATTTCTAGAACAATTTTTTAGGTGCTTTTTTAATAACATGAACCCAACAAGAGAAAACTAGACAAATAGGTTAAGTTTTTATTCAGCTGAAAATCTAAAAATTAAATTCCACTTTCGAAACTAGAAATCGTTCAACTTTATCGCGCCATTTCCACGTTCGTATTGGGAGAGTGCTATTTCCGTCACTTTCAGCAGATGAATTTCAAGTGAACTCAAAAAGTGCATATATAACTAAGTGCATTCATAAATGCATCAATATGTATGAATGCCTATCTGCAGTTATTAGAGACTTCTAAGACTTTTTCCTGAAAGAAAAACAAAAAAATAAGCAAGACCTAAAACAGAGACTTTACTATGTTCATTACTCTTAAAAAAGCTAAAAACTTGTCATGAAAATATTGAGCGTTAAGTTTTAAAATTTACACCACAAAAGACTTGAGAACTTCAATCGGTTAAAATAAGTTCACTGATCAAAAACACAGCAGCAGTAACCATTTTAATTGGAAAAAGAATTAAAACACGGAAGAAGCTGAGCTTCGCGCCACTTCGGTACATAACAAGAAAGCCGCAAAAACGGGGAAAAATCTAAGACGTTGAAAAAACTAGATCCATCAAAATGAATAATGCTAGTTTTGAAAAAAAAGAATAGAAATAATGAGAAATTAGCATCGGGAAAAAAACACACAGCGGTAGCAAAGCCGAAACCCTTTAATCCGAAAAAAAAATCAGCAAGACTTAAGACTTATAAACGTTTACACAGAGGCGAAGCTTCGCTTCGCAAACACTAGCGAGAACACGACAAAAAGCAGTTTTATAAAGTGCAATAAGAAAAAGTAGAGAAGTAAGCCTCTAAAGGGCAAAAAAATCGGCTTCGTCTGAGATCGAACCTACGACCTTAAAATTAAATATCACACACACACACTACCCACTCATCAACCACTCAGCCACGGAAGCTTAATATTAATTCGAAGATAGAACATTAAATACTAGTCACAATTAAAGCAGATTAAATACTAGTCACAATTAAAGCAGATAACAACTCAAAAATAGGACACTACGTCGATAAATCATGAGGCAGAAAAATGTTTTTTGGCAATTATAAAAGCAAACATACAAAGCCAGGTTTAATAAAACTGCAGACAGCAGAAAAAAAAAACGCAACTACAATGTAACTTGCGTTCAACAAAAAAAATCTACGATGTGGCAAGTAAGCCGACTTATTATAAGCAGACGAAAATTAGGCCGACAATTTATTTACAGTTTGAAAGAATAACAGGTTCTATCAGATTCGAACCGAACCCAGGAACTTTGCAATCTCAAGCGTATTCGTTACCTCCAGACCAAGTGCGCTGAACCTAATTTTACCATTTCTAATTTTGGCAATTCTGTGAACAAAGTTTATTTAGGGGAAAAAAGTCCAGTGCCCGATTGCTATACCCTTGCTTATCGCAAGGGTTAAAAAGTCATTCAAAATCCGAGTTTTTGTTTTGACAAAATAACAGGTGATAAAATTACAGGATAAGTGATGATCGTCCATCATAGTCAGAATTGTTTGAATCGGAAAAAAAATTCCATGCTTTCTAAACTAAGCTGACAAAAATTACGCAGACAAACGAAGCCCGACAATTCAATTTTTTCCAGAAAAAAATCAATTTCATAAATACTGAAAAAAAGAGTCATTTCATAACGCTGAAAAAAAAACGAAAAAAACTGCCGGTAGTCAGACCCAAAACCTTAGGGTGCAAACGCAACCGCGTTACCTTGTGAGCTATAATGCAAAAATAGTGAATAGAAGAGACGGAATAAAACCTTCATAGGACTTTTTTGATCGATAAAATTTTTGAAACTTAATGTTTTTTTTTACAACAGCTCCCTTATGAAACACAAAAAATATATCATAAATTATTTCCCCTCAAAACTACGCAATGAGGTCTCTTAACCGATATAACATAAGCCGAAACAGTTTAGAAAAAAAATCTTCCAAAACAATTTTCAATTATTAGAAATCCGCAAAACCTATGCATTGTCAATATAAGCCAATCCAACCGTAGCAGATTATTGCATTTTAAAAATGGTATACTAATAAACATAGCCAACGAACATTTGGAAGAGAGTAATCAACGCAAGGAAACTGAAAAAAAAATTGACTTGTTTTTTGAAGAATCTTCAACTTTTGAAATTCGAAGAAAAAATATATAGCCTTAAGGCTCTTTTACTTTGTAGCACAATTTATGATGGACACTTTTTTGTTAAAATTAACCCAATTTGAGAAAACGGATCAATCACAAGTCAAACCGCGAAAAATCAAACCTGAGCGTGAACAAATTTTCCTGATTTTTTCCTGAATAGAAGAAACTCAAGAACAAAAAAAAAAGTAAGACCGATATAAGAGTACTCACTACGTTCATTACTCTTGCATACCAGGAAGAAACAAATGCGCTTTAAAGAAAAGCGAATATAGCTACTGGTATTTAAATAATGCATAAATTTGCAATTAAATATGCGACTTCGTTAGGAACACACTCCTCGAGATAACACACTCCATTTATGGAAAAATGGCAACTTAAAAGCTATTGCACCGTGTAGTATGGTTCTCCAGCCAGCAGTTCATCATATCCGTCTCCGTCCAAATCAGCACCCACGATGGTAGTTCCGAATCCGGTATTGAAACTCGCGCCCACCAGAGAGTCCAGGAACTCAAACGAATCCACGATATAAGTTTTACCCGGAATGAAGTGGAACAGCTTGATTTCGCCTTTCAGACCTAGAATTACAAAAAAAAACAATAACAGATACTCGAAAAATAGAGGATTCACTTTATAAAACTTGCAGACCAAAATGAGTGAAAATTCAAATTTTTCAAACACTATCATATTGCTGTTGCTAGCTAATTTTACGTTACATTTTACAGTCAACCAGCCCGGCACCTGAGGACCATCGCTATTGGATACGCCACGCTATAGTTTTGACAACTAAGTTGCTAAAAAAAGCAAATGAATTAGTTAACTTGCATTTCAAATTCATGTCTAGTTTTCAAAATCTATTTACTGTGCATCGGCGTAGATTGCAGAGACATCAAAATTAAAACTGATGAAAAGTTTGACATCCAGTTAAACTGCGAATTCGGTTGAGAATAACTTGGGTGATGGATTGCAAATTTAAGCATAATAGGTTGCTTTCCCAGAGAAGCCTATAAGTTGCTATTTTAGCAATTTTAGCAACCACTAAAAGGGCGGATTTTCAAAAACAATCCAGAATTTTGTCGACATTTTTAGGACGACTGAATTGATTTTCCGAGCTATCCCAAAGTAGTAAAAAGACCCTGGTTTGGCTAAATTCTCTGCGCCGCAGGCAAAATTTTGAAAAAAAAACAGACCAAAATAGCGTTTTTAGGCACTTTTTGGAAACTTTTGACCAAAAAATTGCCGCTTTTTTCGGCGAACGCTCCCCCTCAAATTAAGTATATATTGGCGCCGGCATAAAATTTTGGGTATAAAATTTTGGGGTCCGTCAGCCGAAAATGGATATCTCAAAATAGTTCAAAGGGGACCCTTTGGTTCGGCAAGGTGTCGAATCCGCCCCTGAGTTCAAAAATCAACTATCGATTGTACTCGAATGTCAAACTAATTCTCCAATACGGTTTGCTTGTGTATGGGGAACCGTTTTTTTTCTGTTGAACTAAATTTACTTGTTACAGCTCAAAATTGTGCCAATGATTTTTTCATGAGGAAGTATGATTAAGTAACGTTATATTTTTGATTAAAAAAGTGTTAACGGAACATGAATATTACGTATAGATTTGTTGAAATTCTGCTTCCATCCTTTGAACCATCGACTTCAACTTTTTTTTCTTAATTTCGATGTTCTTTTAGAAAAACTTACCACTTAAAACCAGAAATTCCAAAAATTGATTCCTTTTAAGTGCTAATCAACCGAAATCATGCTCACTAACTAAAAAGGTACAACATTGCTGAATATAATGAGCAAACAAAAAAAATTTGTAATATCAAAAAAAAACAATTTTCGTTAATTCTCAAGATAATTTTTACTTGAAAATGATTTGGTGCGATGCCTTTGTAGACCTAATTTCCCGCTCTTTAGAAAATGCCTGTAAATTATTCTGAAATTTCCTTGCCCTTTTCGGCACTGTTGTACTTCGGCGTTGTTGAACGCCCCCCTTCATTGTTAATGCCTGTAAATTATTCTGAAATTTCCCTGCCCTTTTCGGCACTGTTGTACTTCGGCGTTGTTGAACGCCCCCCTTCATTCACTCATTGACATTGCTTGCTCGGCTCTTTTGTAGACCTAGCATAAATTATTAACCTAGCATAAATTTTTGTTTTTTGAACCCATCGGTAAAATACTATCAAAGCACCCTTTCAGGGTTGCGATTCTAGCCCAAAAAATGACTCTCCAAATCCTTCTTGTTATCCTTGTTTAAATTTTTGCTTAAAATTAACAATTTTGCATCAGCGAGATGATAATTAGCAATCAGGTGTTCATGAACAGAAAGAAGTAGTTTTTTCTTATTCAAAAAACTAAATTTTCGATTTCATAAATACCTGATTGCTAATGATCAACTCACTGGTGCGGAAGTGTAAACTTGAAGTGAAAATTAACCACACAGTAAGTTTATAGAACTTCAATCAGCTTCCAAAAATTCTGCTAATTTGAATGAAATCAAAATTGAACTTTTCACTAAAAAATATTCTATAGATTATTCTTATTACTAAGTATATAGGATTAGAAATATGACAGGAAAGTTTTTTTCAAAAAAAAATTAAATTTTTGCTTTCTTAAATGTTCGTAAATTTGTATGTTCTAACCGCGCTACTTCATTCGGGGCAGTACAACGGTGCCGAAGTACAACAGTGCCGAAAATGAAAACTTTGTTCAACAAGGCCGAAAAAAGGAACAAATTTCAACATATTAAGTGCGGCAATCAAAAATTAAACGGCGAACGTTTACAATCTTAAGTGATACTTAAAGATTTTGAGAGACCAAACTTGCAATAATTTGGCGCCAAAATAATTGTTTAATTTGCAGTTGCAGACATTTTGGCGGCGAAATTGGAGTGATTTTCTTTGATAATTAGCGCTAGTAATTTCCCGCTCTTTAGAAAATGCCTGTAAATTATTCTGAAATTTCCCTGCCCTTTTCGGCACTGTTGTACTTCGGCGTTGTTGAACGCCCCCCTTCATTCACTCATTGACATTGCTTGCTCGGCTCTTTTGTAGATTAATTTGGTATTCGTATAAAGAAAAGTACAAATTTTTTTATCTTTTTATATTATTCAAGTTTGTCATCAATATGTGTTCGGGTAGTCTCAGTAGGCGCGTTTTGACCCTTCATTCTTTCCGCTCCATTTTGGTAATATGTACAGCTCCTAAATTGAGTTTCCTAAATTAATATTCAAATTTTACTTTGGTAAATGTGCTTATACGATTTAAGAGAAATAAATTGTTTCTTTCTTTTTTAGAAAACTAGTGTTAATTCAGGACAAGAGGTTGCTGAAAATGTGGCTGCAAGGTTCCAAGGCCTTCTCTCTTCCTATTAGATTTCTGTCTGTTTGAAAATTCTCTTCGATATCCAATGACGGTATCGACTTTACACACAATTAGGCTAAAGAGTAGGGTACTCATCGTGTTACCTTGTGCTCTGGGCCCTCCAGTTGCCAAATAAGTCTTGTTGGTGCCCTTTTCGCCTGGGATTAGGACTGAGGCTACAGAGTATCCGTAGGTCAAATCAACTGGACACACCAATTTGTTCAAGTCCACACCCTCGCGAGCAGAGGGATCATAGCCAGTGTATTTTTTCAGCGCCTTTGCGTCACATAGGTAGAATAACCGCCTTAAAACATACCGGGATCAAACTAACATCCATCTCCCAAAAGCGGTTGGGTGGCAAATATAAACTTCGCACAAAACGTAGCACTTTAATGTATCACTTGCGTTGACAGAGGTCACAACCAAAAAAGAGTCTGATCGTATAACTACGCTCGCTAACTCGCTTGTGTAAAAACTCACGAAGTTGCATTTCGCGAGCTCAGTAACTGCATTAATAAACAAAATAAAATAATTGTGAGTGCTCATTTGGAAGCTCCTTGACTTAATTATGTTTAAATTTCACAGCTGATTTACGAATTTAAATAAATTGAAGTTAACATCCCCCTACCCAGTTAGACCAACTTAATATCTTCCAGCCCAGAATTTAAATCAGAGAAATTTTTGCTGAGCGCTGCATGTAAAATGCTCGATTCTTATTGGCTGAAAATTGAAACTTTGAAACAAGTCAACATCGTTACATCCTCCACCCCAAACTGCTTGGGGGCGGGGGCAGGAGGAGGATGTTACCTTGGTCCAGAAAGTTATTTTAAAAGGTTCCTTATAGCCGTTCGATCTTATATTTATGTTTTGTGGATTTTAATTTCTCATTTTGAAATCTTTCGGTTCAATCTAAATTTAATTGCTCAATGATGTCAAAATGCTATATTTCATACGAAAACTACCAATGGCGCGAAATAAACAGCTGGAAGTTAACATTCGTATGTACTCTCAGCAGCTTCATAGACAAACACTCATAGACAGACAACCCACTAGATTACTCGCTCGTCCACGAAGACCTTATCGTCACTTATTTCCACGCATACGTGAAAAGTAATTATCTGACATCAATGAACGGGGTTAAAAAGACGCGAAAAATTTCTATCGAATCGCATGGTAAATTGAGCTCTATAATGAAACGGAAATTGAAAAAACAGGAAACCGACAGTTGGAAAAGGGTCGATAAACTCCAGAAAACAAAAAATATACTAGACAATTTTGAGACTTTTTTTCAAAATTTTTGAATTACGAAGCAAAAAATTCATCTTTTACACTTATTCGCTTAAATTGACCCAATTTGACAAAACTGGATAGAAAAATTCTGCTGTGAAATATAGCATAAACGAACCCAAGCAAACAGAAAAAATATTGCCTGTTTTTTTTTTGAAACCATAGATGGCCTTAAACCATATGGAAAAACATAGATGCCCTTAAAGCTCTTCGAAACTTTAGAAAAATTTACGGTTTATATTTTCAAAATTAAAAAGTCTTGTTGGTGCCCAAGTCTTGTTGGTGCCCTTTTCGCCTGGGATTAGGACTGAGGCTACAGAGTATCCGTAGGTCAAATCAACTGGACACACCAATTTGTTCAAGTCCACACCCTCGCGAGCAGAGGGATCATAGCCAGTGTATTTTTTCAGCGCCTTTGCGTCACATAGGTAGAATAACCGCCTTAAAACATACCGGGATCAAACTAACATCCATCTCCCAAAAGCGGTTGGGTGGCAAATATAAACTTCGCACAAAACGTAGCACTTTAATGTATCACTTGCGTTGACAGAGGTCACAACCAAAAAAGAGTCTGATCGTATAACTACGCTCGCTAACTCGCTTGTGTAAAAACTCACGAAGTTGCATTTCGCGAGCTCAGTAACTGCATTAATAAACAAAATAAAATAATTGTGAGTGCTCATTTGGAAGCTCCTTGACTTAATTATGTTTAAATTTCACAGCTGATTTACGAATTTAAATAAATTGAAGTTAACATCCCCCTACCCAGTTAGACCAACTTAATATCTTCCAGCCCAGAATTTAAATCAGAGAAATTTTTGCTGAGCGCTGCATGTAAAATGCTCGATTCTTATTGGCTGAAAATTGAAACTTTGAAACAAGTCAACATCGTTACATCCTCCACCCCAAACTGCTTGGGGGCGGGGGCAGGAGGAGGATGTTACCTTGGTCCAGAAAGTTATTTTAAAAGGTTCCTTATAGCCGTTCGATCTTATATTTATGTTTTGTGGATTTTAATTTCTCATTTTGAAATCTTTCGGTTCAATATAAATTTAATTGCTCAATGATGTCAAAATGCTATATTTCATACAAAAACTACCAATGGCGCGAAATAAACAGCTGGAAGTTAACATTCGTATGTACTCTCAGCAGCTTCATAGACAAACACTCATAGACAGACAACCCACTAGATTACTCGCTCGTCCACGAAGACCTTATCGTCACTTATTTCCACGCATACGTGAAAAGTAATTATCTGACATCAATGAACGGGGTTAAAAAGACGCGAAAAATTTCTATCGAATCGCATGGTAAATTGAGCTCTATAATGAAACGGAAATTGAAAAAACAGGAAACCGACAGTTGGAAAAGGGTCGATAAACTCCAGAAAACAAAAAATATACTAGACAATTTTGAGACTTTTTTTCAAAATTTTTGAATTACGAAGCAAAAAATTCATCTTTTACACTTATTCGCTTAAATTGACCCAATTTGACAAAACTGGATAGAAAAATTCTGCTGTGAAATATAGCATAAACGAACCCAAGCAAACAGAAAAAATATTGCCTGTTTTTTTTTTGAAACCATAGATGGCCTTAAACCATATGGAAAAACATAGATGCCCTTAAAGCTCTTCGAAACTTTAGAAAAATTTACGGTTTATATTTTCAAAATTAAAAAAAAAAACAATTTTAGACAGAGACAAAGCTGCGCTCTGCAAACACTAGCGAGAACACTACAAAAAGTAGCTCTATAAAGTGCGACACAAAAAACTCGAAATAGTAAAATTCGGCTACGTCTCGGATTCGAACCCACAACCTATTGAGACCTAGAGATTAAATGAATCTCGCGCACTAACCACTCAGCCACGGACGCTTAACTGATTACAAACACTGGCCTTAAAAAGAGCACAGAATAGATGCTATGCAATTTTCAATGCTACAGTGAAATTTCCATCTAAGTCAACACCTTTCAATGAAAACTTTTGTTCGCGAGTTAAGTTTACAAAAAACAGGTTCGTACTAACACACAAATGCTCGCAAGTGCAAAAACTGGATCAATAGGTTAACATTCTATTTTGCTGAAAAATCTGAAAACTAAATTCCTTTTTTGAAACTAGAAAATGATCACGTTTTTTGTGACCTTTACACTTTCGCTGTTCGATAGTAAAGTTTGCCTTTCTTTAACGAAGGAAATGAACAAAGCTTGAGAATAAATCAGAAGACAAACAATTTAAACTTAATTTTGACCCTGAACAAATATTAGGACTTTTCTTGAACCAAGAAAATCATCACGACCTAGAGTCTGAACTACGTTCATTTTTCATCGACTAATTAAGAGCTCACTTTCAAACTAGAAATCAATAACTTTATGCGTCAACTCATAAGTGATTTTTTTAAGTAAAGAGCGTAAAAAAAACCAAACCGTAAAAAAACCAAACCGCACAAAAAAAACCAAATTTGAGCCTGAAGAAATTTCAAAAACCTTTCCTATGAAAAAAAATGAAAAACACTTTAAAAACTGCAAAAAAAACTCTGCGTTATAATGCGAAAAGGTATAGTCCGTACTCGACAATATATCTCTACAGAAAACACAAGCTGCAGCTTCGCAAACACGAACGAGAATGCTTCAAATATTCAGGAGCTACAAAACGCACAAAAACTCAAATTTTGCGTGTAAAAAAGCATGTAAATAATTAGAATGTTTTAAGCCAAATAGCACAACAGTTATGCATTTTAAAAATCTCGAAGTAATTCGAGTTGAAAATTTCTGAAGGTGGTTTTAATTAGTATACTGTTGCATGAAGCCAAGAGCTTTTTTTCAATTCAAAGCATAAATATATATCAACACCAGGAACTTTATCTCTATGTCAAGTATTTATTTCCATCGCTGAACAGGCTTTCAACCAAATACACAAGAAAACAAGGATAGCCGGTTAGAATATTCCGACCTCTAAAAAATAAAACAAGTCTAAAAAATAAAAAAATTAAAACAAAGTTTTTCAAACTATTGTCGTTTTTTTTCGGCGTGGTTTGATAAAAGGAGCTGAACAAAAAACTGGAGATAAGGTATAATTGACAGCCGTACTTAATAAAGCCAATTGAAAAAAAAGTAGAAAAACAAAAAAAAACAATTTCCATTTAAGTTTTTTGCAGTTTTTGAATTTTGAAAACTTTGATTCCAAAAAAGCTCGATAATTCTCAACCTGAACTAAAGTTATACAAGTACAACTAAGTTTTTACGTTTTAAAACAAGCTATAGTAAGCTTTAAGTAATTAAAATAAGCCTTCTCGCTCGTTTTATTCGCTCGAAATAAAACGGAAAATCAAAAATTTCAAGCCGGTTTTTCTAGACACATTTTTTGAAAATTTTAATGCAGTTCGAATCTTCAAATCACGAATGTAAAGGCTTTAATATGATATATCACTCAATCCAGTCCGTTCATTATATGTGGTACCTGATTCTGCGTGGACAACGGAAAGAAAAAAACTTTAAGTAATTAAAATAAGCCTTCTCGATCGTTTTATTCGCTCGAAATAAAACGGAAAATCAAAAATTTCAAGCCGGTTTTTCTAGACACATTTTTTGAAAATTTTAATGCAGTTCGAATCTTCAAATCACGAATGTAAAGGCTTTAATATGATATATCACTCAATCCAGTCCGTTCATTATATGTGGTACCTGATTCTGCGTGGACAACAGAAAGAAAAAAACTAAAACAGACTCGATTACTAAGTCCGTTCCCATTTTCAATGTTCGGATCGAAAATCCGCTCAATGTTAATCGGTGTTCAAAGGAAAAACGTACAGCACTGAATTGATAACGTTAGCTACAACTTTTCAAGTCCTTGACTGTGACTGAACGGAAAAGAGTTATGATGCCCACAGGAGAGATAAAATAGCAAAAACAAACAACCAATATATCAAAAACTCCGCTTCTGTAACTCAACTATACTCACAGGTCTTGGCTTTCCTGGAACGCTTCATAATTGTTCTCAAGTGCATCTTCTCTATGAAGAATCTGTACAAAGCCTCCCTGATTCTTGAACATGGGAGCTCCGAACAGCAAAGTCTTGTAGTCTTTCGTCATGTGTGAGGAAAATCCCATTTCGTTTCTGTTGGCCTGCGAGAGACCGGCATATTGACCACCTAAAATCAGTTTGTTAGATTTGTCGTTGATATAATTTGGGATTATTATCATGAGCGAACAGTAGACAAAAATATAACCTATTAAAGGCATTTAAAAAAAGTTGAAGACAAAGCGAAAGTTAATTAAAACCAGAAAAAATGGGGGAGTGGCGGTGAAGAGGTTAAGTTTCCGCCTCTCAAGTCAAATGTCGGATGTTCGAGGTCCACCTTCATCGTTGCTTTAGGGTGAGGCAACATAAGCCAGTCAAGAAAAATAGCCAAAAAATTGCATGTATATCTTAACCAGGGGCAAAACAGTAATTCGCCTTGATGAGCTGACCAGCTCGTATGTTTTCCCATTCTCTTGTGGATAAATAGTCTTAATCTTAACCTTGAAAACAATTTATGGCTGGAAGCTCAAGAACCTTATGTTTGACACTTTTTGCTGAACAATCACCCAATTTGCGATATTTAGATCAATAGGTTTATAGATTTTTTTCTCACCAGAAAACATCTTTTTCTCCATTTGAACTATAGTCATTTGTGACCACAGAGAGTTTTCGTTTTAGCAAATTAATTTGAATTGAACTTATACAGAAAGCAGTCAAACCACGAAAATCAACCTGCGGGAACAATTTTATATGAAACACAAAAATCACACAACCTATAAAAGTTTTCTTCAATATTTGACACTTAGCAATGATTTCTGATTGGTTAATACAACTTTCTGCCATTCGGTTGGAAGTATACGCTTGCCCGCAAGTTGTTTGTTCCGACCATTTGAAAAATGTAGAGAAACTTTGTTTTCCGGTTCGTTTTAGTTTCTGTTTTTTTTTCTTTTTCTTTTCCACGCAAATTCAAGTACCACAAATAATCATTGAAATGGGTCGAGTGATATACCAAATTAAAGCCCTTTCAGCCGTGCTTCGACAAACGTTTGATAAATTTCAACAAAACTTTCTCAGTATCGAGAAAAACTGTTTTAAACTTTTTGATTTTCATTTCAATTTTGAGCGAATAAAGCGAGCAAGCTAATTATGCTTAATTTAAGCCTGAAAACTTAGTTTTAGGCAAATTAAATTAGCTTTTGAAGTTTTTAGCGCCGTTTTGGGCACCAAAAGCTTTTAAAAAATCAATAAATTCAATTTTTGTTGTTCTTCTAGTGAGTTTTCTTTACAAAAATTTTTGTCCAATTTGCCTATATTACTATGAGTGTCGAGTATGCCTTAACTATAGTTTTATGTCAGATCCTTTTATCACCCTTTTTTTGTATTTTTAACGACTATCGTCGGAACATTTGTGCTACTTGTAGAGTAACCGGCTATCGTTGTTTGCAAATGCAATTTTCTGACGACACCAAGAAAAGCTGATAAGCACTTGGACCCATCGAAATCTATTTGGTAAAGTTGATAAAACAAGGTTGTCCAAATCAGTAAAAGAACCAAATCAAATGGCTGCTTTACTTACTTCCGCCGTAGGACGATCCCTGGAAACAAGCGTTGCTAATTTCGATATCGGAGTCCTCCATCGTAGCCAGTAATTCCTGAAACAAAGCCAACAAATCGTTGAAGATTTGATCCAACTTCAAAAAAGCAAAAAACACAAAAGATAAAAGTAATACGATCTTCAAATATTACCAAGAGACCAAGTCTGCGCTAGAATAGAATCTTATATTGAGACCTAGTAACGCTATTTTTTTAAACTGTTTTGGTTTTTTTTATTGATGCGCTATTTTCATTTGAGTTTTATCGAGTTCCATGATCAACTAGTGACTTGAATAATAAACAAGAAATCAAAAATGTACTGCATTCAATAATTGCTAGAAGTCAAAAATTGGCACGATTAAAAACCATTACAAAAACTTAATGAATCATAATTTAAAACAGACAATACAGAGGTAAAGCTGCAACTTCGCAAACAAAAGCAAAAAACGGCCAAAGAGATTTAAAAGGCAAAAAAACCGGAATTCATTGGAAGATTTTTAATCTTGGGCCAATTTCGCGTTTTGGCAGCTAAACCGACAAAAAAAGCGGACCAAACAGATTTCTAACAATGATTTGTTGGAGCGCGGAAAAATTATCCGTTTTCAAAAAATACAGTCCATGGCCGGAATCGAACCATTGTGTCTTTGTCATTTTTTTGTGCGTTACCTCTAGTTATATGCGCTAACTAACGCTTTATTAGTAGTGAATCTTAAAGCAGTCTATATTCAGACTAGATAACGCTTAAAGCTTCTAGTCGCAAGCGTAATTAATGGGGTTTAGGAAGTTAGAGGACGAGCAAATTAGACGATCAGAAAATCACGGAATTTAGACAATAACTTACGCGAAATTTGTTTACAGACTTAAATTATGGTTACGTAACATTATTTAGACAACTGCCTATTCAGACACTGTATTAACCAATCAGAATCGAGACAAAAGGAAGATATCAAACTCATTCCTTCCTTGTCTCGATTCTGATTGGTTAATAGTGTCTGAATACGCGGTTGTCTAAATACAGACCGCACTCCTTAGTTACCTTTTGGCTGAGTAAATACTGGTTGTCCGTAAATTCCGTTTCTTTATGTTCGTCTTATTTCTTATCGTCTAAGTACCTATGCCTCGTAATTAATGTCTTGTTTCGTGGAACAAATTAATTTGACTTATTACTAATTGAAAATTGAATGACAGAGCACATGTCATTGAACTGCCAAAGCAACCATAAATGTGTCACCAAGTGACCTTGTAGTATCGCAGTACGCTCGGCCTGCGTAAAAACAAAAATAAAGAAACGTAGATAAAACACAGACATGAAGGCACACCTGAGTTTCAAACCACTTGCGATTATATATAAAGATCATTGTTAGTTAGCAGACAGAAAACCTTGAAAAAATTTGAAAAAAATACCAAACTTGAGGAAAACATGTCGAGAGGTACAATTGCTAGCGCTAAATAATTGTTCAAAAAATTTTATTCGGCGCACCGAAAGAAAAAAAGTTATCTTGAAAAAACGAGCTTAAACGTTTTTAAACCCCTTTGGGGAAACACAAAAATATAAGAATACAATTTTCTTTCTAACTACGCAGTATTAGGTGACTGAGCCTAAATCATTAAATCGAAATCACTACAACCAAATTTAAAAAAAAACAAAGCAAAATTTGATTACGCGCTGTGGCAACTAAGCAGACGAAAGATGGGTCGGCAATATTTTTAAAGGAAATTTTTATGACGGAATTAATTTCAATTAGCAAAAACCAGAAGGTCTTGGTCGGTCTCAAACTCTGTCTTCGTCATAACGGGTATAAACAATACCGCTTTGCCAAGTGTGCCAAAGATGACTTTAAAAAAATTCGATACCATTCAATGATTCTTTTGGACAAGTTGTTTACCTGAAAAAGTGAAAGAAAATAAGTGAAACAAGAAGCAAACAGTATACATTTCGCTAAAAAAACTTACTATGTTTGAGTTTAAAACAAAAATCTTAAAGCTTTTTAAACGTCGACCAGGGTATCAAGTGCAAAAAATGCAACTTAACTTTTTCCGAACTTTGCATGCCGTTTCGACTTTTAGTCAGCAATTAAAAAAAATTCGATTAATCGGCCGAAATGTCTGAAAAATAGAGGCGAAGTTGCACTTCAGCAAGAAAAGGGCCAAAAGTAGCTCTAAAATGAAAAAAGGTAAAACTAATAATAATTTTGATGTGCCGTATTCCAACCCCGACCTGGAGATTAGAAGTCACATGTTGTAGCATCTGCGCCATGGCCGCTTTAAAAAGTTGAACACTGGGAGCAGATGCGAAAGGTATTGCGTAAATTTCAAATGCGTAATGTGTCAAAATATCAAAAATTGAACAGTTATCAATTCGATAGTTCTTTCTTATCAAAGTATGGAGAACACGCTTGTGCAAGGGAGATAACATCTCCGTTTGAAAATTATTTTTTTATATAACTGGCACAGTCGTTTTTGTGAAATCGAACCAGTGCCAAAAATTGGTCAAAAGTTTCTAAGTCTCAAGCAGGCTCCCTGTAAAATTTGGAAAAATTATCTGATGCAGGGGATACCCTTACACCTTGCTCTTTCAATTAAAGCCTTAATCTCAGACTTCGCAACGTAATTTTGAGAAATAAGGAAATTTCAAAAAACGCACTTATTTTTTGTAAAAAGTTTTTTTTCTGCAAAGTCCAACAATATCAAGGCCAACGTAGCCGCTATGTAGAGAATATTCCTGAAAACATGTTCTCTCTATTGAACACTTAATATCAGATTCGTCAGAGTATTTTTAAGAAAAATCGAAACTATCAAAAAAAAGTTCATTTCAAAACATGGCATTTTTCTATAGTCAACAATGCTTTTCTAATAAAATTACTTACTGAGCCGGGAAAATTCTCAAAATTCTCAGCACAAGTTCTTTCGATTAAACACATTTTATCAGATTTTTTCGGGTAGTTTTCGACCGAAGTCCGAAACACGGTTAAAATTTCAAAAAAAAAGACTTTTTCAGTGGCGAGGAGTTCGAATCCGAGGAGTTTGAATCCTCCCCCTAAAACGGCCTCTGTATATAACCTTACAACGCTTTGATTTTCAGAATCTTCAATTCATGACTGGCTTTAACTAGATAAAATCAACCTATTTTCAAAACAAGATCAGGATTTTTTTCGCTGATAAACTTTTCAAATCCGCTTGTGAAAAAAACTCAACCTAGTTTTCGCGTCAATCGCTCTTTTGTTGTGGAGAGCTAATGGTACCTTCCGATTACGTAGCAGTATTTAGACGACCATGTATTCAGACTCGTCAGTATTTAGACATATACTGTATTAACCAATCAGAATCGAGACAAGGAAGAAATGAATATTTAATTATTTTTTTTTTCGAAAATTTGCTTTCTCATCTCGATTCTGATTGGTTAATATGGTAATTGTCTGCTTACTGACGAGTAAGAATACGCAGTTGTCTAAATACAGACCGCACTCTGTAACTTCCCTAAGCCAAATCCCTTGAAAGAATTTGAAAAAAAAGCGGCGAATGACAAGTAGACGGCTCTAATCAAGACAGTGACATTAAAAAAGAGTTACATGAACAAAATGAAGGCATTTTGGCGGGTAATTGAACAAATTAGGCGGAAAACGAATAATTGTTTCGCAACTTGCTTGCCCCCAAATCGAACATAAAAAAGACTGACTGCTGTAACAAAGGGATTCTATATTCGTTTAATAATTTTCTTATATTTGGGTGCCTTGCTTCTCCTTTGTTTGCTTTACTGTCTCTCATAATTGCTTATTAAGTTCACGGTCTGGATCAGACCCATCTTCTTGTCATTCACCAAAAACGCCATAGAAAAAATTAGCGTTTCCTAGCTTTTTCCTGAACTAAGAAATCGTCCTAAATTAGTTTTAAAAAAAACTTCGCTTATTAACACTGAAAACAAGATGCTTACATAGTTAACAGTAACTGTAACTTATCTTACTTTTTTCCTCGTGCTGTAGCCGATACTAGACTTGAAGACATAGCCGACAGTGTCAAAAGACACACTCTCATTTGCAATGGGATTTTTGCTGTCACAGTTGGCATTAGTGGGGCTTCCGGAGAACAAGTGGTACTCTATCAGGTCACCCGGCATCGAAGGTACGGTTAAAAGGCTGGACCCGAACATCCCGTGAGCATTGTATTTGTTAACCGGGTCAATGGTCAACAATGCGAAATTTCCCTTCTCTATCGCTCTACAATTAAAGGTTATTATTACTAAACATAGCCGATATGCAGCTCGAAAAATCTTAATAAACACAAAGAAAAAAAAATACTTTCGAGTTTCCAAGAAAAACTTATGCCCTTTAATCTTATATTTTATGATTGACACTCCGCTTATAAATTAAAAAATGAAAATCCAATTTCAAATTAGACCAGACTTGTCGTGACCGTTACACTTTCCGTGTTCGTTCGTGGAGTTTGCCTTCCTTTTATCAAAGGAATTGAACTGAAATAAGAAATCAAAAGTCAAACCGCGAAAAATTCAATGAAACTAAAAAACTGATGAAAATGATTAATATCCTATTCTTGCAGCTTGCGATAAACACATAGCAATACACGTTAGTGAAGAGAAAAAAAGAAATTTTGAACAATTGAGGCAAAAATTGCTTGAAAAAAGCAAAAATTTCACACATTTGTCTCAGAAATTAATCTAAAACAACAATAAAAAGCAAATTTAAGTGGATTTTACCTTCCTTTTGACAAACGAAAGGAACTGAACTTGAATAGAAACAAAAAATTCCAACTGCGAAAAATCACATCTGAGCGTAAGCAATTTTTACAAAACTGGCATAGCCAAAAGACATAATTTCCTGGTTTTTTCTGGATAAAATATTTCCTGGATAAAATATTTCCTGGATAAAATATTTTCTGGTTTTTTTTGAAAAAATCAACTTTCAAACTTGGAGTAAGAAAACATAGATGGCCTTAAAATTCTTTTAGTTTCTAGAACAACTCATGACTGATATTTTCAAAATTGAAATTAATCAATTTTATACAGAGGCGAAGCTGCGCTCCGCAAACACTGATGAGAACACGACAAAAAGTAGTTCTATAAAATGCAATACAAAAAAAAAGATAAATAAGCCTCGAAGTAGCAAAAATTCGGCTTCGTCTCGGATTCGAACTCACGACCTACTGAGATCTAGAGATTATATGAATCTCACGCACTAACCACTCAGCCACGGACGCTTAACTGATTACAAACACTAGCCACAAATAAAGCACAGAACCGATTCTATGCAATTACTAATTCTTCAGTGAAATTTCCATGGAAGTGAACACCTTTCGATGAAAACTTCTATTTGCGAGTTAGGTTTTAAAAAAGCAGTTTCGTATTAATACACTAACGCTCACAAGCTAGCAAGTAAAAAAACTAGATCAATAGGTAAACATTCTATTTCGCTCAAAAAAGATTCTACTTTGCTCCACTTTTAAAATTAGAAATTGATCACGTTTTTGAAACCTTTACACTTTCGCTGTTCGATAGTGAAATTTGCCTTTCTTTGACGAACGAAAGGAACTGAACTTGAAAAGAAAGCAGAACAAAAGAAGCTTTACAAGAGTTCTTTCTGAAGAAAAGTACGACTAAGGAATCAAACTTTTACGCCACTACGAACCTTGACTCAAACGTGCTTCATCGATCGATAATTAGCAATTTTGGCAATATCATACAAATTGATAACGTCCGACAAGATTCGCGAGCCGAATATTTTTATAGCTTGGTGCTTCGAATTTATGACAATTCAAAAAAAATCGCATATATTGGAAATACTATTTGCATCTTTTGAGTGTAATCTGACAAAATCCAATTACAGGGTTGGTAATGTCAACTTAAGCAAAGTTATTCAATTTTTTTTAATTCGAAATTTGAAGAACCATAAAATTTTGTTCGTTAAAAATTTTTTAAATAAGAGAAAAATGTCACATCTCGGAAACTACAGGCAAATAAGCAGTCGCATTCGCAGGCAAGATTTACAACTCCCGAGAGACTCACAGCAGTACCCAACTACAGGGTTGAGAACTTCAAATTTTGAGAAACTTCAAATTGAAATTTTCTATAAAATTTTGGAAAAAACCAAGGAAAGTACCATAACTCGAAAAAAAATTGAGCACTCATATTCAGAGGCAAGACTCGCCACCCCTGAGAGTACCCTGTGCTCTCACAGTTTCTAACAACAGGGTTGAGATCTTCGACAAATTTTCAATTTTAATTTTTTGAATTTTCTTTGATCTAAGTTTTTTGAAAATTTTTGACAAATTATAAAAAATGTCATATCTTGAAAACTACAAGTATTTGAGAAGTAAAATTTGGAATCAAGATTCGCAGATCCTGAGAGTACCCTGACAGCACCCAACTACAGGGTTGAGATTTTCATTTTTTTAAAACTCAAGTTTTCTAGAAATTTTTGTGAAAACCTAGAAAATTGCCATACCTCGTAAACTGCAAGGATTTGGTAATTCATATATGGAGGCCGACATTGCAACACCTGGGGAAGCCCTAACGGCATAACACTGTTGGGTTGCTAATTTCAAACTTGGTGAAATAGACACTGAACTCAAACTGGAAAATCGGGAAAAAAATCTTAACATTGCAATATACGATATACCTTAAATGTGAAAAAAAATCTTTTGTTAAACATGCAAAACTAACACGGTGAAAACGCTTAAACATGGCGAGATAGCGAAGCCCGCATTTAAATGTATAATAGATAGATTGAGAATAGTTATAATTTATTTTTCTCATTGTGTTAAAGCGAAATTCGTTAAGCCGACTTGGTTAAGAAAATATTTTAATTGTTTTATGATAACAAATTCGGTTCAACTTTTTATCTGGACATCACTGCATGGCTGCAAGGGCTCTGAAACATAATGAACTACGAGCTTTCTTGAAGATGGTCAAAATCTGGATAAAAAAATAAGCTACGCCATAGTTCTTTCCGAATTCGCGAAGTAGTCAGAACAACCAATTAATCAAATGGAAAACGCCTGTGAGTTGCGCTTACCGCGCGTGAGGGTTCATAATCAAACAAGGCTACTGTTGGCGGTCTTATAAATGAGTCCACTATTCAGCCGAAAAAATATACAATGAAAATGCCTGAATCTACTATCATCTGAGGGAGTTTAGGACTACGTCCAATATAAAAACAAAAAAAAATAGTTTGCCTCGAATGCAGTTTTCATGCACATGCTGAGAAACACAACTACCAGTGTTATATTAGTAGTGAAAAAAAAACATTATGGAGCGGTAATTAAGCGGACAATACTTAAGTAAACAACCGTTGAGCCGAAAAAAAGTTAAAACTCCTCGGAAAAAACAATGAGCGAAAAAAAATAGAAATCAGAGCTGGTTTACAACCAATAATAAATCCAATCAAATAGAATGACAATTTAAAATGCAAACATGTTTAGGAAATAATCGTCGACCAGACATTCCATCAGAACAGATTTGCAAATGCTCTATCGAATGATTCAAGCGATTCAAGTGACACAAGGCTTCATTCAATGCTTCTTCGTGCTAAGAGTAATGACACAGAGGCAAAGCTTCTCTTCGCAAACACTTGCGAGAACACGACAAAAAGCAGCTCTGAAAAGTGCAATATAAAAATAGAAATAATGCTCGAATCAGCAAAAATAAGTCTACCTCTGAGATTCCAACGTGCGACCTAGAGATTAAGAGTTTCACATACTAACCACTAAGCCACGGAACCTTAATACGTACCATTACCACCCAGTCACAAATAAAACAGAACATATGCTATGCAATTTCCAACGCTACAAGGAAATTTCCAAATAAATGAACACTTTTATTGAACACTTTTATTTGCGAGGTCGGTTAGAAAAAAAGAAGGTTCGTAATAACAGACTAAGCGGATCGCAAGTGTAAAGAAGAAATGAAAAACAATACATAATTAAACCGAAATAACTTTCAATTTTAATTTAAGAAATACATCAGTAAAAAGTTAGCATATGGTTGCTATACCCCAAATTATTGCAAGGCCAACACATTTCTTCTATCAAATTTTAGTCAAAGTTTTGATTTTATAGGAATAAATACCTGAGCAAATTATTTTCTCTCCGTCCATCCACAAACGTTCTTACGAATACGAGAAAATGTTCTGCGTCGTTTAGCAAAACGAAGACAACGTATCGCAAAAAATATATATATATATAGTGCGTTTTAAACTAACGATTGTCTTGACGTGATGGAGCGTTTTAGGTTTTGCATCTCGACAAAACCTGGATCCGCAAACTCGATACTCGGATTCCCTGGTGCCGAGACCAACACTGCAGGAGTATCTTCCTTGTTTGGGCCATTGTTTATGAACACTGACGCCACGTCGTAGCCAAACTGAGGATTATCCGCTTTTGTTTGGTAGAAAGGTTTTTCCACAGTTATTTCTAAATACAAATCAGATTTAATGTTGAATAAATTAGAGGTTCCGAAAATTCAAAACAATTTGAGAAATTAAAATCTTAAGCATAGTCAACAGATAATTGGAAAACTTCGATACAATTAGAGAAACAGATTACAGACTAATTAAACACTTTCGTTTTTACGCGTGTTACAGAATAAAACATAGCCAGCAGATACTTGGAAAAGAATCAAAAAACGTAAAGAAACAAAAACAAACGAAATGTTTTCAAGGCCTTAAAGCTTTTTGATTGGCACTTTTTTGATAAAATCAACCCTATTTGAGAAACCTGGATTAGTAAAAAAAAATTGTTATTCTGCTGGGAAATCTTAAAATTAAACTCACTTTCGAAACTAGAAATTGACCATTTCTGCTTTCATAAATTGAGAGTGCATTTTGTATACCTTCTAGCAAATAAACTTGAATTGAACTCAAAAAATCTAAAAATACTTAAGGGCATTCCTATGTGCATTTATAAGTGTGATTGTACTTCTTTTGGTATTAGAGCATTTTAAAACGTTTCCTGAAAAAAATCATCCTGGCCTTTATGAGGGTCTGAACTTTGTTCATCGACTCTTAATAACATCGCCAAACAGCCTTTTTACTTTAAAGAATCTTTTACTATTATCCTTTTAATTAAACTATTAATAAAAGTTTACGCAGGCGAAGCTGCGCTTGGCAAACACTAGCTAGAACACGACAAAAAGCAGCTTCGGAGCTCTAAAAAGTGCAATAAGAATAAGCAAAAACAAGCCTTGAATTGTTAAAAATTCGGCGACATCTCGGACTCAAACCTAGGACCTACTGCGGCCTAGAAATTTTGAGTATCACGCACGCACTAACCTTTTAGCCTCGGACGCTGAATCCATCGCAAACACTAGCCATAAATAAAGCCAAGAACAGACGCTAAGAAATTTCCAATGCTACAGATCGTGATAATAGCAAAAAGGCACACAAGTGAATACTTTTAATGAACAGTTTTAATTAAAGTTTAAATTTGTGATATCTGAAACTGAAGTATATCTTGGAAACCGACAAACACGCTCCGTTTTTTGCTCGATTTGAACTTTTAAATTGAAGAGCGTGAATTGAGCTACTTAGGAAGCAAAATTAATATCTGCCATAAAATAAAGTATTCAAGCAACCCGATTAGAAAAATCAGCAGAAATAAAACGTTTTTAGTACGTTATACGCTTAGTTCATATGCACCTAAGCAGATAGGTTATCATAAGCACGAGAAATTACCATAGACAGAAAACTTTGTCAGAAAACTATAAGATGTTCTAAACTCAAATAAATTAAGTGAATAAAAACCATTTAAACTGCCTTGACTATTATTTGCAAATATAAAAACAGGCTGCAGTGAATGCGCTATAAGTCAGGGAATGGAACCATCTGTGACAAAAATCTGATTTTTTTTTCGGATAGATCTAATATTTGGGATATTTTAGGAAATAATCAAATGATATTTCAAAATGTTGTGTAATAGATTTTAAGAATTGTTACCCCTGCGACATTACCTTCTGCAATACAACTCTCGACTTAGTCTCATCAGTGAACGATCTCGGACTACAAATCAACATCACTTTGTCGTGGACCGAGCACATAAAGAAAAAGCTAACTAAAGCAAATGCAACATTCTTCCTGATACGCCGCAGTATCAGTCATCTTCTCTCTCCGCAGGTGAAGCTCCACTTGTACAAAACACTTCTCATGCCTATCATTTTATATGCTTCTCAATGCTGGTCTCCAAAGAAATCGGACTTGAAGCAACTAGAAACCTTCCAGAAGCGAGTTGTCAGATGGATGCTGCCTGACACACCGTACCGTGACGCAATCAGTTCCCTTGGCATCTTACCCATTGTGTACACTGCCGTTTTAACTGACTTTCTCACTCTTTCAAAAATTGTCAGTGGACTATATGACTGTGATCTCACCAGTTGTTACTCCTGCGCACCCAGTGGCTCACGACGCACAGCAACTCGTTTACTGTTTGATATCCCGATCATTAAGCTCGAGCGCCAGCGCAACAATTTTTGGTATAGAACGCCATGGAGAGCCAACAGAATAGCAAACGTTATCGACATCAGAACCTTCTCGCCTGACTTGAAGTATCGTCTACTCAAACTCATGTGGTCGTTTTTCCACAGTCACTATGATGAACTCAGTCCATGTACCTGGACATTCTTGTGTTATTGCTCAAATTGCAGAGATCGACACATTGACCTCTCGGGACTCAATTGACTTGATTTATCTACGGGACTAACAGTCCCCTCATTTACGTTGTAAATGTAAATCCAATACAATAATAATATGACTTATAAATAAAAAAAATGCAACACTTATAGCTCATATTTTAATTTTAGAAAAAGTAAAATAGCAAGATCCATAAAACATATAAATAAAATAGTTAAAACTAACAACTTATTTGGACAACGGAAATATTCTAATTATCTTTTAATTTTCTAATATTTTTTCCATAAGTACGATGTACTTATTTCGAAATAGAAAACGTTTTGCATACAGCAGAGAAAATTTCTAGATCAAAAAGAACACGGTGATACATATCTTCATATGATACATATTTTCTTAAAATTGTTTTAAGCTTTTGAAAATGTGGCCGCCAAAATAGAATTTCTGAAAATCGAAATAGGGTACGATGTACTTATTTCGAAATAGAAAACGTTTTGCATACAGCAGAAAAAAATTTCTAGATCAAAACGAACACGGTGATACATATCTTCATATGATACATATTTTCTTAAAATTGTTTTAAGCTTTTGAAAATTTGGCCACCAAAGATGAATTTCTGAAAATCGAAATAGGGGGGGGGGGGGGAGAGTTAACAAGATCCAGCCATACCAACGCTGTATAAATACATCGGCAAAATTTTATGAATAAATCAAGTCGATTTTAAAGCATCCAGGAGTTGTCAATTGAAATCTACCCTCCTCGATTATAGCACAGATGGAATTGTCTATGTTGAATGTTTTTTGCACCCCTATGAGGGAGAGGGTTGCACTCCTTAGAAGTGCAAAACATATTTTTGTTCTAATAACATTTATTGTGTCCGAGTATGATTCGCTCCGTATGTGGTGGTTCAATGTCAATCGTAATAAGAAACCAATTCTTGACCAAACAAAACTTTGAACCCCGAAAAAAAGATGATTTTGTTGAATAGGATTAGCAAAGACCTGGATACGCGCTTAAAAAATTGTCTTTACCTTCAATGCCATCAGGTTTAGTTTCACGATATGAGGCCTCCAAAACCGCGGATCTTATTTTCACTGAGACGTCTTTGTCGAACAGATCAATTGCAACACAACACGAAAAGCACATCAAGACCCAAGCTGATGGACCTCCGTTTAAATTCATTTCACCTTAAAATTTGCCGATGAAGTTAAATTATTTTCGAGAGTACATCAGAACGTCAAAAATAATCATTGATCAGGGCGGACTCTGATTATCTTAAATGTCAATGGTGTAGCAAGCAATTGCAATATTCTTGCACGTAGAGAGAGGGAATCATAAATTGAAATCATAAATGCTCAAAAGGTTGATACATATGTATTACAAAAAAAAACATAATTGGTTAAATAGGGTTTGATAAGTAAGTAATTAAATTAAACCAAACGGAATTCACTCCAGCACGTTTTCTTGTGCCATTCGACCAGAATGTCGGCGAAACGAATTTTAAAATACGCTGAAAAGAATTTTTTTTGGTAGCCGAGTCATACGAAATAGTAATTCTGACGATTAATTTGATTTTTCGAAATGAACGAATTTACAATATTTACAATATTTACACAAGATCTTTGATCGTTCTGTAAATATTGTAAAAAAATTTAAACCTAATGATGCACAAAATGTGCGAAAACTTTTGAATTAGCATTTTAAATTTCTTGGAATTAGGAAGGGTCAGTTTGGATTGACATGCTCCGACGGAAGCTAAAGCTAGGTCCAAAAACGACTGTCTAGCGTCTAAACGCAGCTTCACATGCTTTTAACTGTCTCTACCAAGCCAGTTCTGTAACATTCGCCCGGAAGATACATATCGACGGAAAATAAAACTAAGTCCTAAGACGACTGGCTAACGTCTAAACAGAGCTTTACATGTTTTTAACCGTCTCTACCAAGCCAGTACTTTCGGTGGTCTTTCTAACATCGGGTCGACAAAAAACGTTACTGCTTTCGGCTTCGGTCAAAACACTCAAATTAACTTAATTACATGCAGAAATAGTGAGCTCATGGCTGGGTCTCAGTATCCCCAGACCACGAGGTCACTCTTAAAATCAGGGCTACTACTACTTATTGAATTATTCTCCTAAGAACAAGGAGAAGGATACTCCCCAGGTGAAATTGTTCCTCAGGTATGTGGATGACATTGTTAGAACAGTCAGAGGGGAGCCGAGTTGTCTTCTCGATGCCGCCAATTCTCTTCATCCAAATTTGCAGTTCACTCTAGAAAAAACTAATTCGGAAGGGAATTTGCCGTTCCTGGATTTGAACATAAATGTATCGCAGGATAGGCGTGTAACTTGCAGTTGGTATCAAAAACCAACAGATACAGGGACTATACTGAACTATAGAAGCTGCGCCCCAACTCAGTATAAGCGTAGTGTTATCCAAGGCACTGTACACAGGGTTTTTAGGAGTACATCTAGCTGGGAGCAATTTGATAAGGCTATGGAAACTAATAGGGCGCAATGGCTGACAAATCAGTACCCTGAAAATTGGTCCGCAAAGGTGGCTTCAGACGCCTTGTGCAAGATCATCGAGGGTAAAGGCAAGCCCCTGGATAGTGAAAGGGGTTTGTCAGTTCAATCACCAAAGGATGAGAAGCCCCCAATGCTGATGGTGCAATATAGAGGTAACCAGAGCCAATATTTTGCTAACAGGTTACGAAAATTAACGAACGTTCAAGTGGTTTTCACCACAAGAAAACTACAATCATGTTTACCATCACTGAAGTCAGCATTTTCTAATGACCTCAAGTCAAGAGTGGTTTATAAACTGTCATGTAGTGGATGCACTTCCACCTATGTCGGACAAACTGTTCGACATTTGACCACTAGAATTGAGGAACATAAGAAAGCAGACTCACCGGTAGGCCTCCACCTTCAGCAATGCCAACTTGAGGGAAATAGCGCAGATCTTAGTTGGGAAATTATAGATAGGTCAAACAACCAAACAAAATTGCTAACACTAGAGGCAATACATATCAGGAAAGAGAAACCGGGCTTGAACACGCGCGATGAGTTTAGGAGCAGGGAGTTAACACTGAAAATTTAGTCCCAAAAAATTTTTGGTTTTTTATTCAAAACGTACATGTCTAAATCGAAATTATGACTCAGAAACTTCCAGACAAATTAATTTTAAAATGTTTAATTAATTTTAGAGGTTAAAAGTATTTTAATCTTAATAGTAATTTAGAGGTCAACTGTGATTGGCTAATTTTTTATCATGATGGCTTAGAACCAAATTGTATGTGATTTATTGTAAATAACATTTGTAAATTGATGTTTTATCGTCATTTAGAGTAGTTTATTGTAAAAATCCTGACGATGCACATAGTTGCGAAAACGTTTGAAATTTACTTTTTAGCAAAAATTTCTTGAATTATTATTGTTTTTGTTCAGTAGATAAAAATCATCATCTCCATCGAAGATGGATCAACCCTTGACTCCCTCCAATACTTCTGCTCTTCTACCCTCTGTTTGCAACAAGGTAGGGGATCCACGTTAGATTCTATGTTCCTGCAGAAGCTGTTGTGGAGACACAACGTCACGTTTCTCTCCAAATCTTCCTTCAACATCTCTGCCTTCTCCTTTCCACTACGTTCACTTGTCCTGGAAATTCTTTTCACAGCGGTGGTCACTGCATTCCGATGAGTCACGAGAGCTCGCTTGAAAGCTACTGCTCCAATGTCCAGCTGATATTCACTGTACACTCTGCCGTGCTTCGACATATGCTTCCTAGCATATTCATACAACCATGCAGTCATGTTAGCTCTGAACCATGGCATCAATCGTTTTCTTGCCCATATCTTCTTCACTTCCATCGGATTGTTTAGAATCTTGCACATTGTCTCAAAAATATCTAAATCTTTTAGACAATCCAATTTCAGCAACTGTTCTCTCGTCGGTGCTTCCTGTCTATTGTTTTCTTTCACATGAGCTTCCAGACATCATATCGCCATCATAACTCCCACTATCACTATTGTTATGGGTTGTGATGAGTCTGGTAAACCCATGGAGAGCAGCTCTCCAGAGTCCCAGATCAACACCAGATTACTACGCTTGGGATACCACCAGGTCTGCAGCAAGCAGTGGCAGGGAAACTCGTCATGTGTCAACATGATGCTCCTCCAATTACGTTTTCCCGAAGCTTCCAGTAATGGTTCCATTTCCATCATCACTCGGTGGACTTCATCATTCTCGTCTACTGTATTGTAATCTGTAACAGTTGATCCTCTCTGTTTCTGTCTCTCAAAGTCACTGAAGTTCCCGCTCTTGTATCCCATGAACTTCTTTCCCAGTATCGATTCCAACTCCTCCATGGTTCTCTCTGGAACTGCTGAGAACATCTTACATAGCAACTCGTAAGATTTTCGGACATTCACGTTAGTCTCACACACTTTGGCACTGAGAAGGCTTGATCCACGATCGTTCTCGTAGTCTTTACATCCACAGCTACGAAATGTACCGGGTATCTGCTCTTGCACATTGGAGCCAATGTCGAGCCCACCAAATATCGTGCTGCAGATGGTCTACAATAAGTCTCACTGTGTCTGATGTTCTTTTCCGCCTCGATTGCTTCCCTCCATTTTCCTATGTAGTTCTGCTCGGTTTGCAGAACTCCTGGGAATACTTCTACACTGATGGCAGTGACCATCCCATGTCTCTGTTCTAGATTCAATACTGACTCTAAAGAACTAAACATGCTGTAGAATCCTAGTGCAGTCACTAGATTCACCTGTGTTCCTCCATGACAATCCGCTATCAGTTCCGTTTCCGTTCTTGCTTTCATCACGACATTCCCAAACAATATCGTCAATTGCTTGTGTTGTCTCTCTAGGATCTTCACACAGTCCAGACCTCCACAAACGTGACCCTCCAGTCCACAGACTTCCGTCAGACAGCTACCAGGTTTGGCCCAGTCTTCTGGTCCCCAGCCAGGCAACTCCACTTTATCTTCTCCGTTGCTCCTAGAGGCCGTTATCATCACATTATATATGATGCTAAGGTCACGCAGGTTACAGTCTGCATTCAGCTCCCTCTGCACGTCTTGTGTCGCCCGTAATATCGAGTCAGCGTTGGGACTAGGACACCATGATGGCCTCATCAATTCCCACACTACCATCAAGCTCGTTCTCAGTAATTCATATAAGAATCCCAACCCAAACTCCACTCTTTTGTCGGATTTTGGTACGGAAGGTGCAGTCACCTCTTCTTCCAAGACCAGTCCCAATTTGGTCTGTGAATTATTAGCGCTCTTAATTGTTACAATTCTCGACGTCAAGAATCTTAGCAACACTGCCTGCTCGTAATCGAAGAAGCAATCGCAGATGTCTTCACTCAGGAAAGGGTTGTACGCTATCCCTATGATTCCGGATACGTAGCTGTACGACTTCTTCTTGATCGGTCCACAGTACTCACTGGATTTCGGCAGTGCCCCCATAGATTCTTTAGTGAGTCTCAGCTCCTTGTTTGAGAATCTCCTGATTTCGTCTATCTTTCTCATGGGCTCTAACTCCTCGGGTTCTTTCATATTCACCCTCATTGGTTTGCTTTGCTACATATCCAGCAGTGCTAGCAAGAGTGAGGCTTTCGCTCGCTCATCGCCTTCCCTTAGCATCTTAACAAAAGTGCTCAATTGTAACAGTCGCCTACTTCAGTCACATATGAGGCTTAAGAAAAATAGGCCCTATAACCATTGGCTCAAGAGTCAGGGACACTATCTCTTGTGTTTTTCTACCTCAAGAACGGTCGGAGCCAATTCGGTTCGCTTGCGACATGAGACTAGAACCCGTTACAGCTTAAAGGCTACTACCAAAATATCCCCCCACTCTAGAAAATAAGAACGTTCCCATACTTAGGTCTCAAAATACCCAAAATACACGAACGCCGTTAAAAACAGGGTCGGAACAATCCGTTAAGTTACTTTTTATTGGACAGTGAAACTTTGATCCATTTCAGATGGATCAACCTAAAACTCGCCTTACCTCAACATAACAATCATAAAACACACTCGAGAAAATTAAATTAGGGACTCACATGTTGATGCACTCGAGTACAAGGAGTAATTAAATTGGTAAGCAACTCAAGAATTGGATAATATAACTAGATAAGTTTAATACTGGTCAGTTTTGGTAACAGAA